ATCTTAAGAGTTGAAAGAGACCCCAAAGGTCATCTAGTTCAACTCCCTGCAATGCAGGAATTTCAGCTATAGCATCCATGACAGATGGCCACCCAACCTCTGCTTTAAAACTTCCAATGAATGAGAGTCCACAACCTCCCAAGGGAGACTGTTCCACTGTCGAACAGTTCTTACTGTCAGAATGTTTTTCCGTATGCCTAATTAGAATCTCTTTTCCTATAACTTGAAGCCATTGATTTGGGTCCTACTTTCCAGAGCAGGAGGAAACAAGATTGCTCCATCCTCCATGTGACAGCCCTTCAGATACAGTGGTACCTCGGGTTACAGATGCTTCAGGTTACAGACTCCGCTAACCCAGAAATAGTACCTCGGGTTAAGTACTTTGCTTCAGAATGAGAACAGAAATTGCGCAGCAGCAGCGCAGCAGCAGTGAGAGGCCCCATTAGCTAAAGTGGTGCTTCAGGTTAAGAACAGTTTCAGGTTATGAACGGACCTCCAGAACGAATTAAGTTCTTAACCCTAGGTACCACTGTATATGAAGGTGGCTATTATATCTCCTCTCAGTATCCTCTTTTCCCAGCTAAACATACCCAGCTCCTTCAACTGTTCCTCATCAGGCTTCCATTTTCATGGTGGTCAACCAGAAGGCTACAGGAGCTCAATGAGTAGAACATCAGCACAACAGTCCTCTCCCAACCTGTCATTCCCAGGAGCTAGTATTCAGAGGCATACTGCCTCCGACAGTGGAGGCAGAACATATCCGCCATGATTAGTAGCCATTGATAGCCTTGTCCTCCATGAATCTGTCTAATCCGTGAATCTGTCTAGTCACCCAAGTCTTACGTGGATCCTGATTGTGGGGTTTCCCGCAGGCATCAGGTTGACTACTGTGATAACAAGATGCTGGACTAGCTGGGTCACTTACCTGATCCAAGAGGTTCTTCTTATACTGTTCTGTGATGTTCAAGTTGGACACAAGGCAGGGTAGGACAAGGTTCAGGCTGCATACAAGACTCTGGGAAACACACAGCTCAAAGGTTGCTCCAGGAGTGAACTAGCTGAAACTGAGCCCTTTTATAGAAGTATCACCAGGTGCAGCCTAATTATTAACAGATGCTGCTCTACTTACAGAGGTCCAGCCTTCTCTAGGAGCAGAGGATGTTCAGGGCTGCCCAGGCAGTCCTCAGAGTCAGAGGATGGTTGTGCCACATTCTTGGGCTGGAGAGGCACTGGCTACACAGGTTTATCTGGTAGCAGCACCTCTGGGAGTTTTATGCCCTCCCCCTTCAATTTTTGCAGTGCTCACCTCCTTTACCTGATGAACAAAAATCTGACTCTTGTTCCCAGATTCAAGTACTTGCTGGAAATTTAGTTGTACACAATGAAAAATTAATTGAAGAGCTCTGTCACCCTAGCAACAAACTCAGTTTTTTTAAAAAAAAATAAAGAAATAGATGGTTTTTTATAGTTATGAATTTGATGAGAAAAGGGTATTGAAAAGCGTTGATGAATGAGAAGGCTTGTATGCACCCGACAAACAAATCAGGATAAATAGTAATGGTTGTATAACTGCCCCATAAACACATCAGAATGAATGCTCAATAAAGGCCAGGCATCATAAGTTTTGTACAAGTGAGTCACAAGGAATGCTTGGAGAACAGGTCATCTGGAGGAACTCCCAGAGCAGAACCAAGCAGATGTCCAACAGTGAAGCAGAAGATGGACCAGCCTCTGATCCCTCACGTCAAATTAATTTCACCCACATCATGCAAATAGTTTGATGAAGGCATTGAAATGTTAGCCAGCTTCTTGCACCTTCCAACCCCAGTCTTTATGGCATATTAATTTCTTTTCACCAGCATGGGTTGCCAAGGAAAGCTGGACCAACAATATTGCCCTAAGTATTGTGTGGACATCTGTAGGTTGGGTTAGGAACATGTGAATGATGCTCTAGGAATAGCATTGATATGGAATTGTCACTAAACCCCACATGCAGTTGAAACTTACCTTGCAGTTCATAAGGATATGCAGAATTAAACAGTACAGCCCACCACAGAGATTTCACAATGGTATTTCAAAATGGCTCGCTTGAGTTGTTGCCTTTTATGTTTGAGCAAAGCCTTGTAATTATTATTAATTTGGAGACGTTTGATCTGCAGCTCTATATTTGATCTAATTAAGGGAAAGCTTTTACAGCATTTAATTTTAAATTTGTAAATGGCATGAAAACACGATTTAGCTGCCCTCATGGGTATGATGATAAATTATAAAATCAAATGACTTTATCATGAAAATGATGATAAGAATGATAATTGTAATAATCTAATTGATGAAGATGAGCAAGGCATTTATCCAGCAGCAAAGCTTCTTGAATATCTATTCCATCATTTTTCTAAAATTTCTTTTGCAAAGTTCACAATAAGATAAAGACAATTTCTGTATAAGAATAAGAATAAATAGCATTGATAATTGATATTCTGCTTATCTTAATAAAGCAAATACTCTAAATGTTTGAACATTGAGTGCAGAGAGAAGAAATGTCATGGTGCATCTGCAGCAGCACAACTGGACACCTTCATCTGCTCCAGCTGCAACAAAACATGTCTCTCCATGTCTTTATAGCCACAGAAGGGTGCTGCAACCATCCAACAGCTGGACCTCACTTCCAAAAGCTCTCTACTCCATTGTCTCCTGAGACAGACAGATGCCAATAATCTCCTGACATTCGTCACTTCAGAACATTGCAAAAAGTGAGCATCTTTTTCATATTCAGGTATTTGATATGTTTTGTGATATGCCAACTTTACTGTGGCACATGTTTTCTCAAACTATTCATAAGAACATAAGAAGAACTTTCTGGATCAAGCCCATCAAATCCAGAACTTGTTCTCACAATGCCAGGCCAGATGCCTATGGGGACGTGCAAACAGGACCACAGCACAAAAACACTCTCTCCTCCTGTGCCTTCCACACAGCTGGAATTCAGAAGTGTTATTGACTCCAACCTAGAGGGTCGTGGTGTCTGCTGGAGCAAAAGCACCATTCCCTTTCCAACCCCTAGCAAGACCCATTATTGAACTTGTTCATACATTTGCTATTATTTCTAGACCTCCACCTAATGCTACATGTTTGTGGTAGAATACAAGCAATATTTTTGGTGCTAAATATAATATATCACCAGTGGTGGCTGGGGGCCACCAAGACTGGTGGGACAGGAGGCAGAGAATCCACGCAGTAGGCGGGGTGGGAGCCAATAACACAGAGAGCTGGTTTGGTCCACATCCTCTTCTCTGCAGAGGTCTACAAGGACAACTGTGATGGCCTGGGAGTCTGATTCAGAAGCTGAACCTGAGGAGTCCCAGCCTGCACACGAGTCCCCGCCTCCAGGGCCGGCTGAGCCGGGGCAGGGGCTTGAATCTGAAGGGCCTGCACCTGTGCCGGATCCTCAGGAGCAGACACCAGATGTATCCACTCTGGCTTCGGAGGTGATTGAGGACCCATTGCCTGCCGGTGCGCCTCTCCCAGCCCTGTCAGGGGAAGGCGAAGCTGCTCCTGGGTCCAGTAACCCTCCAGCCTCTCCTGAGCTGCAGAGGCTCAGGGCAGAGAGGCGGAGGGAACTGGTTTCTCCCAGGAGGAGTGCTTGCCTTAAGGCCAGGAGAGGCGGGTCACCTGTGGGCCAGGACCGCCCCTGGCCTCAGAGGAGATAAAGGCCAGTCAGCCCAGTCCCAGGTTGCGGGAGCAACATCGTTGGAAACCTGTTTCTGCGAGCACCCAAACCTGTTCTTCCGGAGTTCCCGACCAAGCCCGGCTTCTCGCTTCGGACGCCGCTTCGTCCTTTGTGGACAGTCTCCAGACCCTTGACCCAGGACCGGACTCTGACCACGCCTCACGGTAACCTCCCCCTGGGACCAGCACAACAACACTGAGACTAAGGAGGAAACTGATGGGAAGAGCCACCCCTGGAACACTTATAAGGAAGGAGAAAGGAAGAGAGGGGCTGAGTGAGTTCAGTGGGGCAGTGCCCCATTCACCTTAGTGGATCAGCCTCCAATGCATTTACGATCTTTTTTTTTTGGTAAGGTGGGGTGTTGCTTCCTCCACATCTAACTTTTTGCATGTAACCCAAAACATTAGTCATTCCTTTTCAGTGAAAAGTGTTTTCTCTTGAAACTCTACCTTGTATAATTATCTGACTTAGTAAGCGCAGAGAAAGCCATGGGTGGTGGGGATGGAAGATTCACAATTTATTGTACCATTCCTCCTTTCCCTGGTTTTGTAGAGTTCTTTGCCTTGATCCAGAATTACACTCTAGGCTAAAAAGCCAGCCAGATTCTGCTCATTAGCACCATTCATCTCTTTAGGTGGCAGGCATGGGGAGAGAAAGGCTAGGCTAAGACCCCTCCTGATTCCATTATCAAGGATTGGTGCTATTGAGGAAACTCTCTCTGGGGCTGTGAATTGAAGGCTAATGTCCCCCAGAAAGGCCCAAATCAACCTAAATAAAGATATAAATTTGTATACCAAATCACTTCGTTTCTCCAGCCATGTTGTAAAGGGGGGTTTCAACATGAACAATATATCCCTACTGTGCAATTTGTTATTATTACTTTTATTCAATACCTGCCCTTCACCAGCGGGTCCCAGGGCAATTGACAACATCAAAAGCCATTTAAAACAACTTACAATCACAAAGATAGAGTGGTTCCTAAAAAATAAACATCTCACGTGTCAAAGGCCAGGGTAAAAAGGTGGATCTTCCACATTTACTATACCCAAAAAGGTATAGTGAAGTTGCGAAATGTAACCCTGAGAGGAGGGGTTACAACTTATGAGCTGCCACACAGAACCAGATATCCTCTAGATTAGAATATCTAGTTGGCCACTGTGATAACAAGTTGCTGGATTTAATGGGCCTTTGGTCTTGTTCAGCACCAAGGAGAGCTCCAAGCAACTTGCTCCAACTAGGGGTGGATGAGAACTGAAGCCTTTTATTTTTTTTATAAGATATTTATTAAGATTTTCAAAATATTACAAAATAAAAATAGAAGAAAGAAAAACACAAAAAATAAAATTAGTTAAAAACAACTCAATCTTTCCATTACTTATTTTTCATTAGCTTGTTTCCCGGACCTCCTCACGCCTCCCTTTTTTGTATTCCAGTTCGGTTTGTTGGTTCAGCAAATCCTTCCCCTCTTTGTCTATCCTAATCATTAATCTTAAAATATTGTAACATTAAATTTTTACCTGTTAGTAATCCATTTTTCATATTCCCTTATAGTATTGCAGCTAAAAACCACTTAATTTCTATCCAACATCATTCTAACATTCATTAATTTTACAATATTTCTGTAAATAGTCTTTAAATTTCTTCCAATCTTCTTCCACCGACTCTTCTCCCTAGTCCCGGATTCTGCCAGTCATTTCCGCCAGTTCCATATAGTCAATCACCTTCATCTGCCATTCTTCCAGAGTGGGTAGATCTTGTGTCTTCCAATACTTTGCAATGAGTATTCTTGCTGTTGTTGTGGCATACATAAAAAAAGTTCTATCCTTCTGAAGCCTTTTAAAGCCTTTTAAAGCCTCTGCATTCAGTCTATGTCTCCTATGCCCCACATCCTACTGGAGAACTAAAACATCTTAAAAAGCCAACCCTCTGGCCTGAAGACAGCACTTCTACTGCCCTCCATGGCTTCCTACCCAGTACACTCTTTCCCCTGTTGAACTGGCAAGGAACTGAGGGAGGCATTCAGTTCCTAAGGCCCAGAGGAAGGCACCCAGAAGCATCTTGGCTCCAGTTCCAATGCCCTGGTGTTGTGAGATCTGGTTCAGTGGAATCCTGCCTGCCAGTCTCATCTTCACTAGTTCTGTGATCATCCTCATCAGGATCAGAGCCAGGAACCCAGTTTGGCTTCTCAGCTGGTGGCATTTCACTGTCCAGTTATGGGCATTGCTGTACTCTAGGATCATGACATCAGTGATTGTCTTTGCAAATCTGCAAATCTGCAAACATTAGTCTCTAATACCCCCTTTGGGGTACAGCACTTGAGAGGATAGGTGCTCAATGCAGAGACGAGCTTTTTCACCAGCTCTGTGGAACACCCTCTCTTCTGAAATATGAGAGTTTACATCAGTATTGGGATACCGCTGACTCCTGAACATGCACATGTTTAGGTAAGCATTCCCCTGTATTTGAACTTCTGATTTTGTTGTTCTGTTTGTTTTTAACAATTTTAATTGTCATGCTTTTTAGCTGGCTTTGTATTGAATATTTTACTTAAGAATGTTTTGATGTCCTAATCAGATTGTTAATTGTGTATTTAAATTATGTCCGCATTTTATAATTGATTTTTTAATACCTTTAAGCTGCTTGGAAGCCAGCTTGGTGTATAAGCGGTATATAAATTAAATAGCAATACAAGTGAAGAGTTTATTATGCTGCCTGGCAGCTACAAAACATGCTCATCCAGATTCACAGCAAGCTGCTCTGAAGTCTCAAGACATGAATCTTGCAGGAGACTATCTGAAGAAATCTCTGCAAACAAGGAGCCTAGGGATGAAGGCTGAAATGAAACTAATTAAGAAAAAGCAGAGAGTGATTTCAGTTAAAGGATTCCTTCAGGGCTTGGTGTAGAACTGGCTAGCAGTGGACACAGACAATTGGTCTACAGCAGCTTTTTATGTAAGAAAGCATCAGTCAAGAGCATTGGCTTGTTCTGTTCTTTTGTCTGCATTCACCATAATTTATATGGCTGTCAAGGCAAGGAAAAACAGGAAAATAGGAAGCTGCTTTCTATCAAGACAGACCACTGGTCACTCTCAGCTCAGTACTACCTGCACCAACAGGACGTGGTTTTCCCATATTTGAGGCTGGGGATTGAGCATGGGACCTTCTGCCTGCAATGAAGGTGCTCTTCTGCTGAGCTATGGCCTTTCCCCAGAGGAAGAGGCTCTACGCTGGGGGATCTTTGCCTCTTCATATCATATAATCACAGAATTGTAGAGTTGGGATCCCAAGGGTCATCAAGTCCAACCCCTTTCAATGCAGAAATCTCAGCTAAAACACCCATGACACATGGCCATCCAACCTTTGCTTAAAAACCTCCATAGAAGGAGACCGCCACACCATTGTCAAAGAGCTCTTACTGTCGGAATGTTCATCCTGATGTTTAGTCAGAGTCTCCTTTCTTGTCACTTGAAGTCATCGGTTTGAGTCCTACCCTCCAGAGCAGGAGAAAACAAGCTTGTTCCCTCTTCCATGTGACAGCCTTTGAGATATTTGAAGATGACTATCATATCTCCCCTGGGCAAAGGGCTGGGTAACAGGATGCAACCAGAGCTCCACATAGCATCCTCTTGCGAGGTCTCCAGCTCATTGTGAGAGGTATCAGTATCTTTGATATGTGGATGATTCACAGGTCTACACCCTCCATACCGTCTGAACCACAAGTAGCCAGTGCTGAACTTGTGTCTGGAGGCTATAATGGGTTGGATAAGGGCCAATAAACTGAATCCAAACAAGTTGGAGGCACTATTGATGGGTGGTAATGTGCTCCGCATAGGGGTGTCCTTGATGGCCCTGCTACAGTAGCAATTGTAGTGTAGAATGCAGCAACCAAAGGGCTGCTGGAAGCACCTGTCATTTAAGACCTACACTGAGATTTTGTATTGGCTGCCTCTGTATCACAGGGCTCAATTAAAAAATATTAATGTTAGGTATAAAGCACTGAACGACTTTGGACCCATCCAAGTACTTGTTGGACCCCCCCCCCCCCCAATACCTGGTCCTGTGATGAGCTTGGTGGTGGCTTTTCATTGTCCCACCAGTGACGGTAGCTCACTGTGTAATGATGCAAGATAAGACCTTCTTTGTAGACCACTTGATTCAACTTTGTCTTCATCCAGTGAGCCAATCATTTCTCCTTCTCTTTCAGCTTCCTAGTCATTGACAAATAGGCTTCATAGATGTTCCCCTACAGTTGTATCTGCAATGATCAGGCAGATGTGATGTGGATGGTGTTTAGGGGGCAACCTGAGCTCCACTTCAAAAAATGTCACACGGTTGGTCGAGGAAGTGTTTCCTTGCTTCCGTGTTCCTGTGATAGAGAGAGAGAGAGAGAGAGAGAGAGAGAGAGAGAGAGATTTGTCTACATAATCGTAGATCATCTATGATTCTTGGCATGCGGTTTGGAGTCTCTTCCATGATAATGACTAGAGGAAAATCTGTTGGAAGATTTAATAAGTGCACTCACTTCTATAACAGCTTTTATATACGCTCAAGCTGCTCTGTCCCGACATAGAAATGCAGGGCTCGTTCGGCAGTCTTTGTGCATCTCTTTTAATGACTTCATTAATCAAATCAGGTAGGGGGAAGGAGGGGCTGGGTGGGTGTTTTCTTTCAAGTCCTTTTCAATAGCTGTGGGATAAGAAGAGAATATCGGTTTAGCTGATCCTTGTAGGAGGTTATTGTGCTGTAGACACAAAGTCGATCAATCAAGCATGAATATTTTCTCCCTCCTCTTTCCCCTCTTATAGTTTTCATAAAATCTTTTTTGTTTAAAGGACTGTATAACACAGTTAACTCCCCCTCCCTTCGTTAACTGTTTGAACATCCTAAGCTGGTGTATTGATCCATCTTGACCAATGCCATCTACACTTGTGGATAGTGCTTCTCTGGGGTCTCTTCCATCACCCGCTGCCTCTTTTAAGAGAAGGTGCTAGGGATCAAACCTCAAATGTAGTGCTTGGGAAGCAAATGTCTTGGCAATGAACTATGGGTCCTCGCCATCTTTTTTAAAAATATAGGGTTTTAGGGGGTTTTTTGCAGCTGAGGTATGCTGCCAGAGTGTGCAGTTCTGTGCAGATTAGTCAAACAGTGGCAACTGAAATCTATCCAGGTGAAGAGAGCCTACACAAGGGTCTGTGCATGGAGCAGAATAATGAAAGCAAAGGCTTAGGGAGCACAAGAGCTAAAGGTGTTCACCCTCAAAAAATCAATAGTAAAGCTTGCTTTTGATCCAGAAACACACCCAACCCCTGCTAATTGCCACCCCCTGTAATTTAGAAAAATTCATTGTAATTCTAGATTATTTCTGGACTACCACCACCACCACCCTTTACTATTGAGCATAATCTAGAATCCAGCCATTTTGTGAAGAAAAGGATGCACTCCAATGTGTCCATGTGTCCTGCTTTACAGAGGACTGTGCTTCATTTGAAGGGCACAGTCCTCTGTTTGGAGGGCTGTCCAATCAAAACCAAGATTAAATATTAAGAACCACAGGAAAGGAGAGGTTGGGGGGCCTTGGAAGTTGCTCATCAGCACTCAACTCCTGGACAGCAGACTGAGCAGCCACACAGGTCACTGTGCTCCACAACAATTATTTTTGTATATCTATCTATCTATCTATCTATCTATCTATCTATCTATCTATCATCTAAATCAACATGCACAATGATTTGGAAATCTGTACCCTCTTCCTTTGGTGATGCCATCCCCTCTCACTGATTTGGCAAAGTGTAAATGACCACCCTAATGCCCTCCCATCTTTCATGGGGTGGCCTGGCCAACATAAATGCCAAGCATTGATAAGGACTGATGGCATCAGTCTATATTGGCATGCCAAGCTTCATAGCAGGGCATCAGTACAAGGAAGGGATTTCCAGGCTTGCTTCTATCCATAAAGTCACCTTATACGGTGGTACCTCAGTTTTCAAACGTAATCCATTCCGGAAGACTGTTCAAGTTCTGAAACGTTCGAAAACTGAAACTCAATAGCCGACAGCTAGGCTTTAGGGTTTTGCACTCAGTGGCAGTCGCATTTCCTGTTTGACTTCTGAGGCATGTTCCAGGTTTACAGCATTTGAATTCTGAAATGTTCAGAAAGGAGGCATTCAAAAACCAAGGTACCACTGTATCTGTATATTTTCATTGGGGGGCGGGATGTTATACGTCTCTGAGTTACTGTCTCCTCTCCACTTGGATATGCATTTCAGGTTCCAAGCCACTCTATAAAATGAAGATCTGCCTTCCCTCATTCACTATAATGGGTAATTAAAAAAAAAAATCTGTAACTCCCCCCCCCCCCATTTTGGCCAAAGTGCATGAAATTTATCAGCACAGAAGCCCTTCCAGAGTGGATTAAGCATGCCATTTTTTAATTTTTATAAGAGAAGGCTTTTGGTGGGGGAAGTAAAGGGATTTCATGTTCCTCCATAATCCTTTATGGAAAGGGAATGTGAGTTTCATCTCTTTCTTACCTTAAAATAATTAAGAGGTGGCCAAGTGGTGTGAATTCTCATTTGTACATTTAAAAAAGAAAATGTTGCAGCTTCACAGTGGGAGTGTTTGTGTGTTCCATAGTCTTGCAGGCATTCCAGTATGTCTTTACAGGTCTCTGCCAGGCCTCACAACATCCTGAAATGCTCCCTGTGGAGTTCTAAAGAATCATAGAATCATAGTTGGAAGGTACCCCAAGGGTTATCTAGTCCAACCTCCTGCAATGCAGGAATCACAGCTAAAGAATCCCTGACAGATAGCCACCTGACCTCTGTTTTAAAAGCTCCCATAATGCAGAGTCCACCACTTTCCAAGCTAGACCTTTCCAATGTCAAACAGCTCTTACTGCTAGGAAGTTCTTCCTAATGTTTAGTCAGAATCTCCTTTCTTGTAATTTGAATCCACTGCTTCAGGTCCTACCCTCTGAAGAAGCAGAAAACAAGCTTGCTCCATCATCCATGTGACAGCCCTGGATTGGGCTGTTTTTTTGTTATTAAATCAGAGCAAAATCAGATTGTTTCATCGGGGTTTTTTTAAAACTTAATTTAAGCTCTTAACTTTTTTTTCAAAGAAACTCCTCCACTGCTGTGCTGTAATGAAAACAATCCAGAGCTCTTCAGTTTTCTACAGCGACAACTTTGACTCTTGCAAGTATATATACAGGGAGATAGAGAAGGAGAAAGAGAGAGGTGCCAGGACGATGTTTTCTAGTCTAGCCTCCTCCCTGATGTATGAGTGTCACAGCCGAACGATGCTAACAGCACTGAGTAGGTGTAGACAAACAGAAAAGTGTTCAGACGTCTTTTGCGTGGGATTCACTGACAATTAGCCAAGGTTAGCAATGGAACATTTATTTGTCTGAGGAACAATTCAATCAAATGCACACAAAACTGAAGTCTGAGCCAAATATCATGAGCACTTGTCATCTCCTGACCTCATTCCCATCCTGCTAATTTCTTCTGCCTTCCACCTTCTTCCAACTAGATTTCTAGGCGTAACTTTGTGGTGTGTGTGTGTGTGTGTGTGTGTGTGTTCAAGTGTCCATAGAGGAATGCTCAGGCATACAGTCCTTCAAGAAGTGGCACTGTGGAGGAACAGTTTTGCTGTGGGTTGTAGCCAACGAGAATGTTAGAGAACAAGAGAGAGCTCTGGTCAAATAAGGAAGCAGCAAAGAGAACTGTCACACCAGATAATAAAGTATGTTGGCACCAATAGGCTAGAACAGGGATAACCTATTCACTCTAGTGTGGTTCCCTCTAGATGTTTTCTCTCATCTGCCCCACATGCATGACCAGGGGTGATGGGAGTTGTAGTCTGACAACACCTTGAGAGCACCTCATTGGGTATCTTGAGCTACAACATGCTATTCTCCACAAATTTCCCATTTCCAATCACAAGAACATAAGAAGAGATATTGCTTCTGCTACTACACCTCTCAGGACAAGCAACAGGAAAACAATCCATGTTAGCATTCAAAGTGCAGACTTAACCTAGGGATCAAGGGATGCTCTTAATTGGTACATCTTAATTGGTGCAGCTGGTATAGCTTTCTGAGCTGAAGTAAACTGAGTGTACAGGAATATGCTTCTGACATTCACAAATGATCAGAGGCCGGAGTTCAGAGTCCTTGCATTTTTTTAAGCTGTTTGTCACCTCTGAAGACACAAAGCGCATTTACTTTCATCTTAAGCGCTTGCTTTCCAAAAAGGTTCCTCTAACATCTCCCTATCTTCCCACTCTGTAGGTAATTCCTTCCTCATAGGGCATCATTCAATAAAAAAGGTAGTGGAGATGGGCATTCTGCTTTGGTTCAAGTCTTATGCTATTATTTCTTGTGAGCATTAAAATTTCTGGCAATCTCACAGGTTCTAAATATTAAATGATGATAATGATGGTGATGCATTATCTATAAAGTAACAACCATCTATGAAGCTCCATCTAGTATTTGTTCTACTGTGGTACCTCAGGTTACATACGCTTCAGGTTGCATATGCTTCAGGTTACAGACTCCGCTAACCCAGAAATAGTGCTTCAGGTTAAGAACTCTGCTTCAAGAGGAGAACAGAAATCGTGTGGTGGCGGCACAGCGGCAGCAGGAGGCCCCATTAGCTATGAAGGAATGGGTTTCCCAAAACCCAAAACTGACTGTGCAGGCAGTTTGAAACTGCACCAAAATCCCTCTTTTTCCTTAGCTAAAATCCATTAACTTGAGCTCTGAGTCAATGTATAAACAAAACCCCGGCTGTGCTCAAAGCTCTCTCCCTTATCAGTCAGTGATGGCAATGAGTGACCTTGCCAAGTTCCACTAGAGCAGGGATGATGCGTCTGTACCTTATCTTATGTCCTGACCACAAACACAAAGACCACAGACCCAGTCCGGGAACAATGCCAAAAGCGTGTTCTCGGAGATGATGACCTCTTCCTCCAAGATAAGAGTAGGAAGAGGAAGATCCTTTTATGGTCAGAAGTACAGGAAGGAATTCCCTTTTATGGTTAAGAACACCACAGCAAGAACATATGTGATGTCAACCTGCATACATAGGCTGACGTGGTTGGATTTATATGGGAAGGAGGGAGAGGGTGCCTGGAGGATATATATACTGCATGAAACTTGTCATTTCTTTGGACTTGCTGTGGACTTGATCACGCAAGTGCCTTCTGCTATCCGGAGAGCAGAATAAACTCTTTCTTTGAATCAACCTCGGTGTCATTTGACTTCCTTCCTCCCGTCCCGGAGCAACGCAGACCCAATCAGTGAACTCCAATAAGGCTACAGCTAAAGTGGTGCTTCAGGTGAAGAATAGTTTCAGGTTAAGAACGGACCTCCGGAACGAATTAAGTACTTAACCTGAGGTACCACTGTACTGTGATAAGCTATTAAGCCTGACATCCTATACATGTAAAAGCTCCTTCAGTGGAGGTTTTTAAGAAGAAGTTGCATGGCCATAGATGCCTTGGTTGAGATTCCTGAATTACAGGGGGTTGAACTCAGAGTCCCTCAGGGCCATTCAACCTCGGCTTAAAAACCTCCAAGAAAAGAGAGTCCACATCTTTCTGAGGGAGACCGTTCCACTGTCAAAGAGCTCTTACTGTCAGAATGTTCATCCTGATGTTTAGTCAGAATCTCCTTTCTTGTCACTTGAAGCCATCGGTTTGAGTCCTACCCACAAAAGCAGGAAAAAAACAAGATTGCTCCATCTTCCATGTGGCAGCCCTTGAGATATTTGAAGATGGTTATCATATCTCCCCTGGGTATAGGGCTGGGTAACAGGATGCAACCAGAACTCCACCTAGTATCCTCTTGCGAGGTCTCCAGCTCATTGTGAGAGGTATCAGTATCTTCAATATGTGGATGACACACAGGACTACGCCCTCCATACCATCTGAATCACAAGTAGCCATTTCAGCACTGAACTTGTGTCTGGAGGCTGTGATGGGTTGGATGTGGGCCAATAAACTGAATCCAAAGAGGTTGGAGGCATTATTGATGGGTAGTAATGTGCTCTGCATAGGGTTGTTCTTGATGCCCTGCTACAGTAGCAATTGTACTGTAGGATGCAGCAGCCAAAGGGCTGCTTGAGGCACGTGTCATTTAAGACCTACACTGAGATTTTGTGCTGGCTGCCTCTGTATTACAGGGCTCAATTAAAACATATTGATGTTAGGTATAAAACCTTGAATGACTTTGAACCCACCCAAGTGCTTGTTGGAACTCCTCTCCCCACTCCATACCAGGGTCTATGATGAGCTTGGGGATGGCTTTCATTGTTCCACCAGTGATGGCAGCTCACCGTGTAATGATGTAGGATAGGATCTTCTTTGTAGGCGACTTGCTTCATTTTTGTCTTCATCCAGTGAACCAATCACTTCTTCTCTTTCAGCTTCCTAGTCACTGACAAATAGGCTTCATAGATGTTCCCCTACAGTTGTATCTGCAATAATCAGGCAGATGTGATGTACATGATATTTAGGGGACAAGAACAATCTAGAGGACCACACACAGATGTGGCTGACAGGGTGCATGGGGCTGCTATACTGTGATCCCAGCAGGTGGGTCGCTGTTTAGTTCCAGGATGGGTGATACTGCAGGGAGCTGAGCACAATGCAAACACAAGAGCACCGGAATTTCTCTGCTGATTTGTTTGCATCAAGCCAACCTCTCTATCACCTCTTGAAGTGGAAAAGCTGCAAAACCCTTTATTTCTGAGTCCAGCTTCAGGTATCCGACCGGTCATGTTGTGCGGATACTTGATTATCATCTTCCAAAGCAAAGACTCTATTCTGAACTTAAAAATGGAAAGCGTAATGCTAGTGGTCAACAAAAGAGGCTTAAAGACTCCCTCAAGGCAAATCTTAAAAATTGTAGTATAAACACAAACAACTGGGAAACATTGGCTTGAGAGAGCTCCAATTGGAGAACAGCCTTTACCAAAGGTGTTATGGGCTTTGAAGACTCTTGAACTCAGGACGAAAGAACCCTCACCATGATCAACTCCCACCTGGAAACCTATGTCTCCACTGTGGAAGGGCGTGTGGATCCAGAATTGGCCTCCACAGTCACTTACGGACTCACCATTAAGACCGTGTTCATGGAAGACAATCTTACTTGGCTACGGGGAATCACCAAAGAAGAAGAAGTAGGAGCCTTAATGCTGATTGTCAGAGTGAAAAACAATTCCAGATAAGTTGCAAGGAGGGCCCTGCACTTAACACAAAGAACTTGGGTTCAATAAGTGTTTTCAATGACTGGAGTGGCAGAAGGTTGAGAACAAACAGCTAATAACAGGTTTTACTGTTGTTATTCTGTCTCTCACAGCTACAATAAACCTACCATTAAAATTATGGACTGGTCATTTCTTCGTCAGAGGGCAAATGGGCGAATTTAGCAGGGGATCAAATACTTTTTCCCCTCACTGTATATATATTTGTGTGGGTGTGGGTGTGGGTGTGGGTGTATACATATATATGTGTGTGTGTGTGTGTATGTATGTATAGCTAAAATATATAATATATAGCTAATATATTGCCTATATAGGGATTGTGCTATCTCACAGACTCTTTTGGACTCTATCCAGTAATGCATTGCTGAATAAAGTCTAACTGATTGGAAATCTGGTTTGAGCCTCCATATTGAACCCACAAAGGGAATTTTCTCCCTCACTCACCCTTTTTCTTTCTGGCAAACATCAGCGCCCCACCTGTCAGCAAGCCAGTGTAGCAACTTTGCCCCACTCATCAAGTTGCTTTGGGCCATGGGTTCCCCACGTCTGCAGCACATGATGGGCAAAACGGCAATGAGAGGGGCACAAATGCATGCTTCTCCGGCACAAACCTGCAGCCCCGACCCGGAAAGTCTACGAACCAGGCCAGAGGAAGAGAACAAAAGAGTTAATGAATCATTTCTGTTGCCTGACTTTGCTGTAATGTGTGGACGTCTTAATGACAAGATGGCTGTACAAAGAACATAATCCCTTCCCACTGAAGCTCTCAAAAGAATGCTGCATACTCAGAGAAGAACAAAAGCCACGGAGGTTGAGGCACCGAGGCGTGAGGTTATCGTTGCCATGCTTGTAACTTTGTGCTGTCAGGAGCTCCTTTGTGTTCCTCTATCGTGTGTCTTTGGGGAGCAAGGATATATTAAGTTGTGCAGCAGACTTGTGGCACGTGCTGCTACAAGTGTAATAATAATGGTAATTGCTAGATGATCTGGCAGATGGTTCCTCACACAAGCTTCCAGAATCTCTTTTTCAACTTAATGGGCAATGGTTACCTTTATGCATACCTTTATTTATTAACATGTGAAAAGAGAGAGAAAACAAAGGAGGGGGTAAGTGCAATGTTTATTGCTTACTTGTCTTTCTGGCTCATGTAAAACAGGAGTGGGGAGCATTCGGCCCATTTCAAGGTCTCCCACGGAGCCCTGCCTCCTCCCTCTTTCCCCTTCTCCCTACACTGCGATGACTAATCCTTCCATTTTTTGAAGAACCCATCTTATTTCTATGGTTGCAAGTTGTTTTAGACTGTTTCCAACATTGTGCTTTACTTGTCCCGTCCCCCACAAGTCTAATTGCTGAAAGGAGGATTATGGGGAGTTGGGCACAGCAGGGAAGGAAAAGGTTAATACTCCCTGCATGCTACTCTGTAAAGAAGTAGAGGCAGGGGATTAGAGCAATGGGTGCATGAAGGTGTTGGGTGAAGAGCTCTGTCCTTGCTTCTTTGCCCTGCTTTTCATCGGACATCATAGTGGTCGCAAGTGATTGACAGGCCTGCCTACCTATCAGACTTGATCCACAGCAGAGTGAGATAGGTTTCTGAGCTACAGGCTGTACGCCCCTTGCTGTACAGTCTGGGATTTTGCCTAAGCAAAAATTGTCTTCCTGGTTCTGGTCTTTGGCTTGGCTTCTGGCTTTATCCCTCAGATCCGACACCCCCACCCAAAGTGCCACAACTTGTGGTTCCCAGCTCCATTTTGACAATTGCCAATGGGTCAACCCATGACAATGGGATAGCTAAGAAAATGGACAGCTGTTGTCCCATTTAACTTGGGTCTCTCTCTCTCTCTCTCTCTCTCTCTCTCTCTCACACACACACACACACACACACATCTATCTATCTGGGATTCTTATTCACCCCTGCCAGCTAGCCCTGCATAAGTGAATGGTTAATCTGTTAAAGATGATCACTATATCCTACTGCATGTCTGAACATCATGGCTCAGGGTGTGCTCATATTTATTCAGTATATAATGATAATATAACTGCCAACATGTAACTAACAGGTCTCAATGGAAGCCACCCTATAGGTCCCCTCTGCTATTATCATTGGCCTTATTGGTTGTTCCACCACCCTCGGAACCTTGGCAGGATGGGGGTGGGTAACCCAGGAGAAGGAATTCTCTGTGGCAGACCCTAAGTTATGAAACTCCCACTCCATATCTGGCAACAGAACCCATCTTATTTCTATGATTGCAAGTTGTTTTAGAGACTGTTTCCAACATTGTGCTTTACTTGTGGTAACCTGCACTGGGACCTTAGGGTGAAGGGCAGATATAATAATAATAATAATAATAATAATAATAATAATAATAGGTTCCATCTGCTCTGCTTTGCCAGCACACTGTGTTCTCTTCTCCCAGCCATACTGACATATCACATCCCTCATAGAGTCTGGACTTTAGTCCAAGAATTCTGTGGCTGTATGCCATTGCCCTAGATTTTGGACCAACTCTGGCGGTTCTTCTGTCCTTTTGTATCTAGCCTTCTTTCCTTTCTGAGACATGTTCTTAATTACTCTTCATGCAACAGAGCACCATAACTGTTTCTCCACTGTCCTCCTTTCATTTGTTTCTCTTTCTTTCACAGGGATATCACTCCTTTAAATCTGTTAACACTGCAATCAATAAGCCAAGCATACAAGGACGTTTAGCATTTGCAGCGTCTGGACCGATGATTTTCTGTTTTTGATCTGAGCATAATTCCCCAGCCAAGCATTCAATTAAAATAAACAAGGGAGCACCTTGGAATGATCAAATGCCTAGCTGGGCGAGGGATTCGTTCAGAGTGAAAATGTTAAAATATTGAAAGTTCTGCATGCACCGGAAGAGCAGACGACGCAATCCAAACTACTCAGAAATCGTGCCAAGTAACTTTAAAGGTATGCAAATAAAAGGAAACCAGATGCTTCCAAGACATGAATGGCAACCTGTAACTAACAGGTCTCCATGGAGACATGGCCCAATTAACTGACTGACAGTCTCCAGGCCTACACTGAAGATTTAATAGACCAGTTTAATAGTTGTCCCAAGTTCCCCAGGAAATCCTGGAAAGCTTACATATTTTATATTAAAAAAATAAAGAACCCCATAGGCAGCATTGTAGGCAGCCTTGCCATGTAAGGCATATTAGAGATGTGAAAAGTCCTAGACCTGTAAGGCCTGTAAGGACACAGAAAAGAGACAAGCTCTGATGCTTTTGGTAATCAGCTGTTTATTAAGCTGGATGAGATTTGGGAAAGGCTCATTTGCTGGGAGCTGTATCAGCTGTTCAATCTCTCAACTCCCAACAAAAGATGGATTTGATAGGTCCAAGCATTAACAGATTCTTTTTGAAGCATCCCTCCAGTTAACTCCTGTCTAGGGTTGATGCTCCCATGCAGACTTGCAAGGCTGGTGCAGCTTTTTCAGCTTCTAGGAATGATTTAGGTGCTACAGCGAGCAGGAAAACACAGAGCTTCATTTTGCACAGAAGAGCTCGGCACCCAAGACACAGAGCGAAGCAGAGAGCACACAGCAAGCAGATCAGAATTGTAAAATATGTGATCTGTAATACAGATGTCTTAAAAAGCAGAGACATCACCTTGCTAACAAAGGTCCATATACTTAAAGCTATGGTTTTCTCAGTAGTGATGTATGGAAGGGAGAGCTGGACCATAAAGAAGGCTGATCGCCGAAGAATTGATGCCTTTGAATTATGGCGCTGGAGGAGACTCTTGAGAGTCCCATGGACTGCAAGAAGATCAAACCTCTCCATTCTTAAGGAAATCAGCCCTGAGTGCTCACTGGAAGGACAGATCCTGAAGCTGAGGCTCCAATACTTTGGCCACCTCATGAGAAGAGAAGACTCCCTGGAAAAGACCCTGATGTTGGGAAAGATGGAGGGCACAAGGAGAAGGGGACGACAGAGGACAAGATGGTTGAATAGTGTTCTCGAAGCTATCAGCATGAGTTTGACCAAACTGTGGGAGGCAGTGGAAGACAAGAGTGCCTGGCGTGCTCTGGTCCATGGGGTCACGAAGAGTCGGACATGACTAAATGACTAAACAACAACAATACAGATGTGAGACAAATCTTGGGGCTCTCACACACCCCTAATTAAAAGAGAAGTAGACACAACTGAGCTTTAATTAGGGGTGCACACAGATCTCAAGATTTGCCTTAAACTGGGAAAGTTTGCACCGATCGACTTATCTCTTTGAGCTTCCTCGGAACATTTAGGAAGATTTTTATTAAGACCAACTCAGGTTAGATTTCAAAGTACTGCCACAAAGTCAAGGGAGAAATGGGCAATCTGCTTAATTCTGGCCTCTTTTCCTTATGAAGAAATTATGCATTTTTATTGGATTTTCCGCCTAGTAGTAATTGCTGCCTCCTATATTAAACATTAATTATGAATCACTAATGAAACAATGGGGATTCCAAAATAATTCTAGACTTTCAAGGTCACTCACGTGGGAGGCATGGCAATATTGAGAACCTAGGAAGAGCCCCCCTGGATCAGGCCAAAGACCCATGCTGCTCAGATTCCTGTTTCCAACAACAGACAAAAAGGTAGGAAGGCAGGACTACTGTCTACATATGCATCACTGTTTGGGCTAGGCAGCATCACCTGGAAACTGGCCAGTAATCACACCATTGCAGGAGTCCAGTGTCAACCCCTGAGACATCCTGGCCCTGCTCCTCTTCCATCTTGCTGTGACAACTAATTCACTTGAGAAAAGCATCCATTGCTTGGCAGATGAAGGTGATGGACTACATGGAATTGGCGGAAATGACTGGCAGAATCCGAGACCAGGGTGAAGAGTCGGTGGAAGAAGATTGGAAGAAATTTAAAGACTATTTACAGAAAAATTGTAAAATTAATGAATGTTAGAATGATGTCAGAATGAAATTAAGTGGTTCTAGCAGCAATGTCATAAAGGTGTATGAAAAAATGGCTGGTTAATAGGTGAGAATTTAAAGCTATAATATATTCAGTTAAAGGACTAAGACAAAAACAAAGAGGGAAAGGAATTGCTGAATTAACCAGTTGAACCGGAATACAAAAAAGGGAGGTGAGAGGAGGTCAGGAAAGCAAGGAAATGAAATGTAAGATACGAAAGGATAAATTTGTTTCTAAGTGTTCTTTCTATATATTTTTATACTTGGCATTTTGTATGTTTTCTCTCTTTTTTTTCTATATTTTTCATTGTCTTTTATGTAATTTTTTGTTTTTGAAATCTCAATAAATATCATTTTTTAAAAAAGAGAAAAGCATCCATTGCTTTCATTACTGTCTCCACTGGCGAAGAAAGAGGAGTGCGGGGGAAGCAGCGCGATTCCCAGGGTGAGTCCCAAAGTGAAGAGGAAGTGGAGACACTCAGAGAGGGCCTCCGTAGTGTGTGTCTTGCCCCAGTGTGCTTTAAAAGATGAAGCCATCACTGCATGAAGGTATCAGCGCTCTTTCCTTGTTCGTTCCCCAGAAACTAGAGGATCGCTGCCTTGAAATATTGAGGTTCTACTTAACTAGCTTAGCTTCAGAGTGGAGCACAGGAATCTGCCTTGAGCTGAATCAGACCATTGAACCATGCAGCTCAGTATTTTCTCCAGCTGTTTTTGAACTGCAATTCGCATCATCCCTGACAACTGGTCCTGCTAGCTAGGGATGATGGGAGTTGTAGTCCAAAAACAGCTGGAGACCCAAGATTGGGGAACCCTGGTCTACACTGATTGGTGGCAGCAATCCAGAGTTTCAGACAGGAGTTTCCCTGAATCTAGGACCTTCTGAATGCAAAGCAGATGCTCTACCACGGAGTGACAGCTCGTCCCCTAATCGTAGACCACTCTTTCACAAAATTGTTCCGATCCCTTTTCAAAGCCATTTACATTGGTGATCATCGCCATGACTTGCAGCAGCAAATTTCATAATTGCACACTTCGTAAAGGAGCACTGAAATTGTGGCGGTGTATCCAACAATTCATATACTACCTGTGGCAAGTGCAACATATGAGAGAATCAGCTTTCCGCTTTGTCCTTGCCTTCCTTTCCTTCCTCTTTCCACTCGGCACCAGTCAAATGAGTGAGCAATCTAAGGCTCTTTAAGTAAAAAAAAAAGGTGAATATAGATTTTGCAGAGCTAATGCCGGTCCACTTAGAGCACTGGTAGGTCCTGTACACGAATGCTCTTTTAAGCTAAAGAACCCAGCAGATTTAACAGCCTTGTGTTCCCTCCGTGCTGCATAGAGACTGTCACCTACCTTAACCTCAACATAATGCAGCCTTCTGCCCATTAAGCGTGAGTCAGCTCCCTCTAAGCAAAGAGAGACTGCAATCTCCCAGGTTATTAAGATAACAGAGGACAGTATTTTCCCATGGCAAACTTAAGAATAAGTGTTCCAGTCAGCAGAACATGGACATTTCTTTCCTCGCCTGGAATCGCAAGCACAGATTCAGACAGCCTTTAGGAGGGAGGGAGAGGAGACAGAGCCTGCAGAACACAATGCTACAAAACCAGCAAGATGTCCTAGCTAATTATGTGTACTTGTTCAACATTCAGATAGCTGTCTTGAACCAATATGAGGAATTTGGGCTTTCCCATCTTTCCAAACTTTGCCCCCCCCCTGCAACAGCACTGTTTCCTGGCTCAATATTGAGAAACTCCGCCCCATCTCTGTCCAGACTTAACTAGTTTCATCTGTGCTTAGCAATCCATAACTGCCCATTCCAACTTCTTCAGTCAGAATGTTTATGCATATTCCATTGTTAAGTATAATTGGTTTAATTGACACAGAAATGGAAAATGTTGGTGTATTAATGAAGGTTCAACACTGGTTTTTCCCCACAGTAGTTTTCTAAGAGACTCTCAGCTTCTTAATGAGTTGATCTTTATCTAATTGTTGTTTTCTGCCAGCTAACATGTGAGTGTTGTAACCTTAGATCAGGTGACAAAGGTATTGAATTGCAGGTTGCCATTTTGAAGGGAGTTGCCTGTTCAGTCTTTCTCTGAATGCCACAGAGAACAAAAGGATATGATAATGGGTCTCCAAGAAGCTGCATAGCCTTAGGCTGGGATGGAGGAGAGAGACACTGTTTCGATTTTTGGAGTTATCTTTTATTTCCAAGATGCTGAGCCTGTGCTGGACAGGATAAGACATTGTGCGGATGTTTTGCAATCATCATTTCATGTATTATGTTATAGTTTGGAAGAGTTCTGCAAGTAAACTTTGAATAATATTTTTATGGGTCTGGACAATGATTTAGTCCAAAAGGAGTCAGTTCTTATGCTTCCAGTTTCTTCAAGCTTTGCAATGTTAATATCTGCAACATACATGACCACATAGGAACTTGCCTTATACGGAGTCTGACCATTGGTTCATTTTTTTAGCTCAATATTATCCTGGCAGCAGCTTTCTGGGGTTTTAGGCAAGAACTTTTGCCAATTCTATCTGGGGACACTAGGGATTCAACCTAGGAGGCAGATTATCTTCCACTAAGCTATATGGTCCTCCCCACAGAAGCTGTCCCCATTGTGAGAACTTCAATGAACACAAGTGATGGGGAATGGCAAGTTCATGAGGCAGAGAATTGTGGGAGGAAGGGATTATAATCACCGGGAGAAAAGTTGCTGTACTTCTTCCAACTAACTTTGTGTTACTGTCTTCTCCTTTAACCTCCCTACCTTCCTTGTGCCGGGGAAAAACTGATGGGATACACAAACCTCGATAATAAACTCACTGAGGCAAGGGCCCATTTCTATGTTTATTGTTTATGCAGTATTTTGCACAAATGAGGCCTTGGTCTATGATTTGGGGTTTTAAGCACTCCCCTGTAGCCAACTATTAATTATCGGCTTAACATTCATTTTATTGCACATCTGTTTCAAAACAGCAGCTCCAATCATAGAAGGAGGCCCTATAATGGGTAGGGGTAACGAACTTAAAAAACAGCAGCTATTCCATGCAAAAGTATCTTCCATGAAATGAGAAAAAGTAAGGCACAACGCAAATGCAAAAGGAACTGCAGGCATCCCGTGACTGGATGAGTTGGTGCAATACAGTGAGATGGTGTGAAGCATAATGAGAGATAGTGTGGTGGACTGGCTAAGAACCTGAGCTATAAGTCAGGAAGTCCTTTGTGTGAATCTCACATCTTTACTGTATTTCTTGGGCCGAGGGTCACAAACGTAGCACCCAGAGGTGCCTGTGTGCTTCTCATCGCCTCTGATGGCAAATATCTCTTTAAAAATCTACAGTGCATTAGAGATTTCTGCTCTTCCTGTGGAGTTCCTGTTTGCACCGACTCAGCCTCTACTGCATCGAATGCAGCTTCTTCAATATCCACCATATATATTGGATTAGCCATTGGATGTCTACCCTCCTATCTGTTCTGAATGGAGGAGAGGAGCCACTCTCTGTGAACAAGCGTAGTGCAGACTGATGTCCATGCACTTTCCTCCACTGATGGAGCAACAGATGGAAGCAGGGGTGCCAACTTAAATAAAATAGTGGGGGGGCATGTAAGCCCCACCCTGCATAATTGATCACATGACATGGTGCATGCACACCATTTGAAGGGCAATGCACATCAACTTTTGGGGGGTGGGTCCCTCAAATATTTTATGGGGGGCAAAAGGGAGCTTGGCCCCTAGAAGTTGGCTCCTGTTGGTGGAGGAGCATGCCTGCATCATTTAGTGGGCAGAGCAACTTGATATCATTCAGTGGTCCTGTCTCTCACACCCTCCAACACTTTGAAGCCAAAATCCAGGACGTCATCTTCCCGGATCCCATCTTTCCGTTTATCGTAAGAGCATGGCAGCCATTTGAGTTTCTGTAACTGTGTGGGATTTCACAACATGGTTTCCCTGCCCCCCAAAAAGAACACTTTTTGGGTACTGCAACCCAAAACATGTGTTTTGGGGCACCACACGATATTGCAGCCCCCGAAGTGCTTTCATCAGGGAGAAATCATGCTACGAAATCATGTGAGACCACAGCAACCAAAATGGCCACCACTCTCTTATGATAATAAACGGGATGTCCCAGTTTTTCTGAGACACTTGTGGGATATGGTCTCTTTTCCTGCTGCCTTTGTCCCTTGTCCATTGGCTGGAATGGGACTGGTCGTGCTCAGCTCTCTCACAGTTTACTCATGGGATTCTGCAGGGTTCCAGCTTATCCTTCTTTGGCCTATCTAACATCTACATGAAAGCACTAGGAGACATTATCTGATATTTAGGACTGGATACCATAAATCAGCTGAACACATCTAGCTTTATCATTCCTGGATGAGATAACTTGATCCAAGATGTACCAACACTGGTGCCTTCTGGGAGAAAAATAATGGAGGACGCTGGCCAGTAGTTGGCTATTCCAATGAGCTTTCTCTCCCACTGAGGGAGGGAGGGGAGGAGGAGAGGGAGAGACTGAATTAGGCCACATTCACAACATACATAAAAAGCACTATGATCACACTTTAAACATTCTTGGCTTCCCCCAAAACATTCCAGGAGGTGTGGTTTGCTAAAGATGCAGAGAGTTGTTACGAAATCTCCCTTCATTTCCCAGAGGTACAATTCCCAGAGTTGCTTTTGAAAAGGGTTTGACTGTTAAACCACTCTGGAAATTGTATCTCTGAGAGGGAAACCGGGATTTCATAACAACTCTCAGCACCCTTAAAAAACTACAGCTCCCAGAATTCTTTAGAGGACTGTTTAAAGTGTGATCATAGAGTGAATGGAGAGAGGGGGTGAATGGGAGACAGAGAGTTTTTCCATGCCCTCCAACATTTCTATGATGAAAATGGGGATGCACTATTCCATAATGTTAATTTTACTATATATACCCCAAACATCTTACTGGGTTGCCCCAGCCACTCTGAGAGGCTTCCAACATATATAAAAACATAATAAAGCATTAAACATTAAAAAAAATAACTTCCCTATACAGGATTGCCTTCAGACGGCTATGGGGACAGATGACTCCATATCCTCCAACTTTTATACAATGAAAATTGGGACATCCTAAGGAAAAGCAGGACATTCTGGGATCAAATCAGAAACCAGGATGGCTTCTCTAAATCAGGGACATCCCTGGAAAATAGGGACACTTGGAGAGTCTGTTTCTTTAAAGTGACAAGGTAAAGATAAGCTATCCAGAAACATTTCAGGACAGTTCTCCAAACTGCTGATATCACCCCATTCCTCTGCCTCCTAACAGAGGGGCAAAACTTGGTGGGCTATTTTGATGCATCCTTCAGAAAGAGAAATAGAGGTGTCTGCTCTGCAAAGCAGAAATGAACGTAGAAGGCGCTTTGAGCCAGCTTCGCCAGCTCTTTTGCCTTCGCAATCAAGGGCAATGAAGGCAATTCTCCAGTATGCATTAAGTTGCCCGCTTGAAACAGACAGCTCTGCACTTTGTCGTTAACCTGCTTCAACTTAGCAGATGTTTTATAAGCAGAAGGGGCCTGCGTTGACCTCTGCTTTATTGCAAGAGCAGCTGGAGAGGCCGCAAGTGGCAAAAGACTTTTAAAAAAAACAAAAAACAAAACCTTTAAATGTTCAAACCCTGCTTTATGATCAAGCAACGTGCCCTTAGTCACTGCGGCACTTAAGCGAGCCTTCTGTCATTGCTAATGCAAGTCCATGGCTTCATCCAAGCCACTTTTCAGTGCCAACATCAAAACCTGTGGAGGAGCTCAACCATACATTTCCACTGGCTAGGCTTGCTTTGGAAGGACATCCTCTCCCCGCCCCCCCAATCCACCTCCAAGTGAAATGCCTTGAAACAGGGACAGGGAACCTGTGGATTAGTAGGGTTGTCACCTGTGCTGTATAATACAGGGTTGTCCCATGTTTCATTGTAAAATGCTGCATCCTGTATTGATAAACATTTTGTCCTGTACTTCAGGTCCTCTCTTTCTCATTCTCTTTCTTTCTCTTTCTGCGAAGTTTGGGGTCCTCTCATAATTTCTGTGTTTGAAAGGGTGTGTGAAAGGTCATGTATTTAAGCTCAGGGGAGCAGTGGCATAGGTAGCCAGGCTGAGACCCTACCTGCCCGTGGACTGTCTCACCAGAGTGGTGCATGCTCTAGTTATCTCTCGCTTGGACTACTGCAATGCGCTCTGTGTGGGGCTACCTTTGAAGGTGACCCGGAAACTACAACTAATCCAGAATGCGGCAGCTAGACTGGTGATTGGGACAGCCGCCAAGACCATATAACACCGGTCTTGAAAGACCTACACTGGGTCCCAGTATGTTTCTGAACACAATTCAAAGTGTTGGTGCTGACCTTTAAAGCCCTAAACGGCCTCGGTCCAACATACCTGAAGGAGCGTCTCCACCCCCATCGTTATACCTGGACACTGAGGTCCAGTGCCGAGGGCCTTCTGGCGGTTCCCTCGCTGAGAGAAGCCAAGTTACAGGGAACCAGGCAGAGGGCCTTCTCGGTAGTGGCACCAGCCCTGTGGAACACCCTCCCACCAGATGCCAAAGAGAAAAACAACTACCAGACTTTTAGGAGACATCTGAAGGCAGCCCTGTTTAGGGAAGCTTTTAATGTTTAGCAGGTTATTGTATTTTAATATTCTGTTGGAAGCCACCCAGAATGGCTGGAGAAACCCAGCCAGATGGGTGGGGTATAAATAATAAATTATTATTATTACTATATAGCCAACCAGGGAAAAGCACCAATGCATGCAAGGCAAGCATCAGTAAGTAACAGACATAGTGCAAACAAAGCTGTAAACCAAAGGAACCGGCCAGTCAATTGAATGAAAGCCAGCAGGGAAGACAAGCAAGAAAGACAATTTTGTCTCCTTCTTCCATCGCTTGCGGTGGAACTGTCCCTTTTCTGCCTTATTGTCTCGTTATTTAGGGTACCTGTTTGGCAATGAATATTCTCAGTGTTCTTGTAGGAGCTGCTGCTGTGAAAGTTATTTTGTCTTATTCCCCTTTTCTCATCTTTTTTTTTACTCTTTGTCAAAGCTCTGACTAATGTGCCAGCAGAGAGGGAGAGGGAGAGACTTTGGCTGCAGTTCAGGCATAATCAGACACTGATTTGAGATGGGGAGGGAAACAAAGTTATTCTGGGGGCAGGCGATTGTTCTGTTGTCATACTTGTTGGTTCTGGTTGCCTTTGGCGGTTACTTTGACAGTGTTCCTTCCCTGTGAACTCCTTCCAGCAAACATCTGAAATGCCTCCATAAGCCTGCTGTGTTGGTCTCAATCTGCAATCCGCAAATTGGCCTAATTGCTGAGGAAGCAGAAGCAGATCACAGCATTCTTGTAGTCCCTTGCAAATCTGGCTTCTTCCCTTAACTATTCAAAAAGCAGCGACTTTGCCAGGCAACAGGTGATGGCCTTGCATGTTTAAATGAGCTGTCGCAGATTAAACACTGCATTGGAAACTGTCCTGAGACTTCAGCATACAGCAGAATAAAACAGGCAATCATAGCAACAGTGGGGATAAAGACTGAGCTGAAATGGCTCACAGGTTTTTTGTGAACATTTTCAACCACTTTTCGCCATCCTTTGCAAAAGTATTGGCCTGCAAGTTTCATTTGCCCTCACTGTCCAATGCCGTCACTTGTCTTAAGTGATGGCCGCTTACAGCTACATCTTATTGGTTGTGTAGCATGATGACAGGCATACAATCAGGGTAATATTTCAGAGGTAAAGCACCTTGCATGTAGAAAGTCTAAAATTCAACCCAGTATCTCCATTTAACACCTGCACCCCTGGTATTATCAGCACCATGAAGCGTCTGAAGAGCTACAGGCTAGACTACATGAACAGTCTGAATACATGTAGAGTTGCTACCAGAGATGGGGAACTCCAGATACTGGACTCCAACTCCCATCAGCCCCGACCTTCATGGCCAATGATCAGGGATGATGGAAGCTCCAGAACTCTTCAATTCAGTCTGGATCATGTGGCTTGAGGTACCAATAGGAGCCTGGCTGGCTAGATATAACCCCTGCTCTAAGTTGTGTTGCATGGACTTATCTGATACAACAACAGCAAATGATGCCTTGCTTTGCCATCTTTGACTATGTTCCTGTCTCTGGCACTTGATCTGGAAACACAGAAACATAGGAAGACGCCTTATACTTAGCTCAGTAGCCTTTCTCAAACTTGGTTCCCCAGAAGTTGTTGGACTACAACTCCAATAATCTCTGATCCTGGTAGCTAAGGATGATGGGAGTTGTAGTCCAAGTACATCAAGAGACCAAAGTTTGAGAAAGGCTGACCTACACTGGCTGGTAGCAGTTCTTCTCGAGCTGGAGATGCTGGGGACAGAACCTGCTCTACCCACTGAGCTCAAGGACACATGCCAGGAAGGCAAAAACACACAAGGAAGGGTGCAGAGCAGGGGAGGGGAGGGGCATGGTTCAGGAGAGTGTCTCACCTTCAGGGAGCCACAAAGATAATATTGAGAGGCATAGGAAGGGAAGGGCGGTCATCCATTCCCTGCACTTAGGTTATCCATCTCTGCAATAGGAGCTTGATACCGTAACATTACAGCTGGAAAGGAACTGTCGTGCAAAGTAAGTTTTAAAACATAGCAATAAAGTTACATTTTTAAAAAATACTCTGCCAAGTTTGGAGCCATCTATATCCCCAAAAAAATTTTTTTGAGGAATTTTAGACCTCACCTCCCATTATTTATGGTGTCTGGGCAAATAAAATATATTCAGCATTAATCCCATCTGGAAATGCAGGGCCTTCCTATGCTTGACACTTCTTAAAGCTTATAATACAAACTGGAACTGCAGAGAAATATACAGAGAAACATAAATATGGCCTCTGATGCATCTCTGCAGCATCTGTGTGTCTATAAATTTGTATTATAGCTCTACTGCCATCCAGTGATAGAATGATTTTATTTTTAAAAAAATTACTGAAAATGTGGCAAGTAACCACAACAAAAATCTAAAGAGGCTCTATTTAAAAATTAAAATGCACAAAGTTCTTCTCCATCACTCTCATTTGAATTTCAGGATGGGGAACCCGTGGCTTTCATATGTTTCTGGACTACATCTCCCATCATTGCTGACCATTGGCCATGGTGGATGAAGATGATGGGATCTGGAGTCCAACCACATTTGGAGGGTCACTGGTTCTCTATCCCTGATTTAAAGGTCTGTATGATCCACTTATGGGGGCATAGATTATTGAGGGGTCCAAAGGCCCCTTCACCCCTAGGAGTTGGTGTGCCTGCTGCCAAGGAACAAAGGTCAGATATGAAATGTTACAAATCCATAGTTTTGGTGAGAAAAATAGGAGGTGAGTTTGGATGGGGACTCACATTTAAGGATGCAAGAAGTGCCGTGGTGAATCCAGGTGTGAGGGCTGTGGAGGCTTGGGGTGTAAGGATGAGGATCAAGGAAGCAGGATGTAGTCACGTGGAGCCTAGAGACATGAGTTGTTAATGTACCTCTGTCAGGAAAGCATATGATGGGCTAAAGGCAGCGGGACTTCACTCGCTGAATAAATGAATGAAAATGCAACCCTTTGATGGAGGACCCTAATATGCAACAAACCTGCAATTGCTAGGACATGTCTTCTTTGAACACAGATAAGTTAATGCAAAGCCTCTGGAATGCCTCTGCATAAGAGACCATAATTTCAGCAGCTCTTGCATGGTCCAAGGAAAGTCACAGAATAAAGCTACAGGGGAATTGTAAAACAAGAAAGGATATTATATCTAAAGAGCAAAATCTGCCATACGAAAACACTCCCGGTGGATCTGACAGAACGAAAGGAAAATAATTATGATGCTTCATCAGAGCTGGGAATGCAAAACGTGGAAGAGAGCATAAAGGCCTAATATATGCGGAGTTAAAGGTGATATGCAGCAGTACAATTTAAAATATGTCTTTGATCTTAAAACGTTCTTAAAATTCACCTAAAAGTTGATCTAATGCGAATCCAAACAACTTGTGACTCATCAAACTGTGGGATAAACAGCCTCATATAACCAGTATGCTTAAATCTAATTAATGCATGAAGGGGTTAAGACCATAGAGTAAGCTGTCCTGCCAGACTTAGTTCACATTGGGAGAGACTAGGTAATCAAGGCTTCGTTTCCTTTCAATCTTCCTGAGAAGTTCAGCATGTGAAGAGGCAAAGCCACATGGCTCTCGCAAGCCACTTTTGAGTTCCTATACCAATAATTTAGGAAATTTCACTACTGTAACTAAGCCAGCTTTTACTGCCTGTGCAACCTTTCTGATTGATGTAAGTAAAAGCACATGAACCTGATCTTTGAAGAGTTTGTAAGTAAACCATTTTTAGCTTGTCAAATGTGTGGTCTTTTTCTATGTTACGGGAAGAGGGAAACGTCTGCAGCTCACAAGGGCATATTTTAACAGTCTATCAGCCTATATTTCTATGCTTTAATTTGCTGCATATTTTGTGATTTTAAATCTCTGCAGAGGTTCTCTCACAAGAACCTGGATGCCCCAAACCTGGATCTTGGGATCCAGGGAATTCTCCTTTTATACCTACTTTTTCCTTGCAGCAACACAAACCAAATATGATGGCCCAGCAGGGGCTTAATAATTCTTTAGCTTTGCTGCAAGCCAGGCGAGGAGGATTATCAAGCACCTCCTTTGAAGACAATGTTTTTTGTGCTGAAGGACTGATCCCTCAGTCTTAGATCACTGACAGGCACCCTGTGCTAGATTCATCTGCAACCTTACCACACAATTCTATGTATGTTTCCTCAGAGGTCATTTTAGATAGCCTGGACGCAGTCTACACTGCTCCTTGACCTCCTAGTTTTCCATGTGCAAGGAATTTTTGCATGGAGAAACACTTAACCATATGAGTTTCCACAAGCAGTATGAAGTGGTTTACAGAGCTTTACATTTCAATCAGAACATAAGAAGAGCCCTGCTGGATCAGAGAAAATATGTTATCTAGTCTCACATTCTGTTCCCAAGGAGACCCAAAGGATGCAGGGGAATATCTCTAGCTCTGCCAGGGACCGTGCTGAGGAGGGCAGCATTGAGGAAGAATGGTCCTGATCCTGAATCTTCCCAGGAGCAGGAGGACAGTATTTGGAACAGTGGTTTGTAGAGGAACATAGTTCAAAAGACAAAAGCTGGGAAATACTGGATGAAGAAGAAAAACTGGGAGAGAGTTAACAGACTCACAGTCGCTGGATAGCCCAAGGTCAAGAAAAGCAGATAAGAGCACAGAAAGCTCAGGTTACAGGATGCTGTAGTGACATGGCTGACTAGGAAGGAAGTGGGTGGAACCCTTAATTGGGAGCACCTTCATTCCTAGGAAATTGATTCTTTGTTCTCTCGCTGTGATCATTAAAGTTTCTAACTGGGAAGAAGACCCATTTTCTTTGTTCTGCTTATCTATGGCCAAAGGGGGGGGGAGCCAATTTCCTGAAGCCTGACAAGCTCCCTGGCAGAGCTTCTGCATCACAAGCTCCCAGGTTCAATCCCCAGCATCTCCAGGTAGGGCAGGTAAAGGTAGAGGACCTCTGGACGGTTAAGTCCAGTCAAAGGTAACTATGGGGTTGTGGCGCTCATCTCACTTTCAGGCCAAGGGAGCTGCCGTTTGTCCACAGACAGCTTTCCGGGTCATGTGGCCAGCATGACTAAATCACTTCTGACACAATGGGACACCGTGATGAGTGCCAGAGCGCACAGAAATGCTGTTTACCTTCCTGCCTCAGTGGTACCCATTTGAACCGTCAACCTTCTGATTGGCAAGCCCAAGAGGCTCAGTGGTTTAGACCACAGCACCACTTACGTCCCTGTCTAATTCCCTGTTTGAAACACTAGAGAGTGCTATCAATCTATATAGACAATACTGAACTAGACATACCAATGGTCTGGCTCAGAATAAGACAGCTTCATATATTCTTAATCTGATGAAGTAAACCTCACAATTCAATGGGCTTTACTCTAAGGAAAGTGTGCATAGGATTGCACCTTTATTGCCATATTGCAACCATTGAAGATGCAAAAAAAAAGCCCATGTTGGCTCAGATCAGAACTATTTTCATAAGGTTGGCAGGCTCAATAAATCCACTACATTTGGATAGTAAGATTTAAAAGCAAAACAAACCATATAAATTCTAATGAAGCAAAGAACAAATATTTGATCTGCAGTATTGGGAAAGAAACTGTAGCTTTGCTGAAAGAGACATTTACATGTTAGGGGTCAGCACTGGAGTGTTCTCTCCTCCTGGCAGTGGTGGTGCCAACAAACAGCTACTGTGGGGTACTGTGGGGCCCGGTGCCTACCTATGGCAGCCTTTGCCAACCTGGTGCCCTCCAGATGTTTTGGACTGCAACAGCTGTGCTGGATGTGATTGGTGGGGCATGTAGTCTGAAACTTGGTAGATGTCAACCTAAGGTGTCAGTAGCAGATATGCAGTGACCATGGGCCAATCCAGAAGCTGATAAGGAGAATGGGAGAAGCTGGCAGGTGGGAATGAAAAAAGGAGATGTTTTTGCTAAGCCATTAAATTTCAAGAAGAAGGAAGAAGAGGAGGGAAGAAATAACAGGGCTGGAGGAGAGGGAGAGGGAAAGGGGAGTCCTGGTGATAGATGGGAATGGATGGCAGCAAAGCAAACTTCAAGGCTGACAGTGATAGCAGGAAAGACAGATGAAGGAAATCAGTAAGAAAGACAGAAGCAGGAGAGACAGAGAAGGAAACTACAGGTCCTAAATGGACAGGCAGAAGGATCCAGATCACAATTTAGGAAGGGTGTTGACAAGCTGGAACATGTGCAGAGGAAGGCAGCTAAGATGATCAAGGGTCTAGAAGCCAAGCCTTATGAGGAATGGTTGAAGGAGCTGTGTATGTTTAGCCTGGAAAAGAGGAGACTGGGAGGGGATAGGATAGCTGCACTCAATGAAAACTAGTCAATAAATGAGAAATTTACGTTGAGACTTCAAGACAACAGGGAGTGGCCAGTTTTCCTGGCCCATAAACACACACAGGAGTATAAGATGGCTAGCAGGGATACTCCGTTTTCCATCCTGAGATGCAGAAGAATTATACAGGGCAGTGTTTGATTTGTTTTGTTCCTGAGCATTATGAACTGGGCAGATTCATTCCTGAAACAGGTAGTTTTGACAACTCACAGCTAGCACTATTCATGGCACATCAGAAAACAACAGAATCAAACAGATCTAGCTGAACAGCATTGTTTTTTCCCCATCACCTTTCATCTCAGACGCCCAGTATTACTGAACGTTGCTTAATCCTGCTGAGAATGTTGGCTTGCCTGAAATGACAAAGAGGTCTAATAATAGCCAAAAGATGAGAGCAAATGTCACGCTCCCTCTCCAGCCCCCAAGTGCCTCAATCAAGAGCCATGAAATCAGGATGCTTTGATTTCCTGCCGCATTGTATATAGGTGGATCAATCTGGCTTTGCAAAAATTGCCGCCTAGGCATTGCACCAATTGCCTGGATAATCAGAAGACGCCCAATGGAAAGATACCTTAACCAAGAAGAACAGACTCAAAAGCTGTTAGGAAGGCAATAAAAGAAGAAGAAGATGCATCCCTCCTCCCCCAGTGAAGTCAATACTCAATTTGTGTTGGTGTTCAGTATAAGGTATGTTACAAATGGGGAGGGGGTAGGATTTGCTATCTCCGAAAGAGCCATGGCCCAGCAAAGCTGTTGGCTTTATAACCGAGCTAAGCTGGACATCTCATCCATCAGGTCAAGATGGGGCTGTCAGTCTGAGATGCTTCCTTTCCTGACTCTGAGCTATTAATCTTAGAGGTTGTGCAGTGCACACACATCAGCCACAATCCAATACTGAGATGTCTCTCTCACACACACACCCTCCTATATCCACTGCTGTTGTGTTGTCAACTTTGAAACAGGACAGAGCTAAGAGCCCTCCTGATGCCCAGACTCTTCCAGGGCAAAGCATGAGGCACTGGAGAGAAATATGGGGTGAGGGGTAGACCCTGGCACCTCAAAGGTTCAGCAACACCAAAATAAGCCCCCCTCCGCTTCTCACCTTCAATTGGATGTCATAGTTGCAGCGTCTGCTGCAGCACCCCAGAAGATCTGCGCCCAGCATCAGCACTCCCCTAGATCCAAATTTGATGGGGCTGAGGGTTCTTCCACACAGGGGCGTCTTAAGTATATCCGGCGCCGTGGTGCAAAGATCCCTCCAGTGCCACCCGCCCCGCCTCCCATTTCCCAGAGTTGCCGACCTTTTTATGGAGTTGCCGGCAGCTTTGCAGGGCTGGAGGAGGCAGACAGTGGCTGGAGCGGAGGGTCCGGGTGCGGTGCTGCTTCAGCGAGGCGGGTGAGAGGGGCGAGATAATGCCGGGAGGCGCTGTGCCGTGCTTCACCCAGCCTCTGCCTCTTCCCTGGCACCCATGCTGCAGTGGCCATGGCAGGCAGAGGCTCCAGGCGTGGCGGAGGCGGGCGAGGGCAGCGAGCTGATGCTGGGAGGCACCACGTCCAGCCTCCACCTCTTCCCTGGCGCCCTCCAGAACTTGGGGCCCTGGCGCCCTGCACCACTTGCCTCTATGGGCAAGACGCCCCTGCTTCTGTCGGAACTCCGTTCGACCGAGCTGCTCCTCTGGTTGATCCTTTGGAATCTCCTCTGAAGGTGATTAACAACCTAAGCCTTTGATGAGGCTCCAGACATGTTCCCATTACGCAGAGCATACATACAGCAGCAGAAGAAAGAGAAATATATGAGCTACATTGCTACGTTTATTTCTAACTACTCAGGACTATACATCTGCTCTCTGTGAAGTCAGAGAACCAACTGGCACAAAGAAACAGGAAACCAGTAGCAACAACTTCCGTCTCCCGTGAGACTTCCAACAGTCTGGAATGTATACAGAGTCTTGTGACTCCAAAAACTGCACAGTGGCACAAACAGAAACCTAACAGCTTCCACATGGAAGCCTATTGTGGACTTGGAGGTGCTCATCCATTCAAGTTTCTTTCCCCCGGCATACACATTATTTATCAACTTCCACACACATAGTTCAACAAGAGGTGCAGAACACAATAAAAGCAACTGGGGGAAAATAGTCTTTAAAACTCTGCTCTGTCTCTACACTTGAAGGCAGCAACCTTCTAAATACCAGTGCTCATGTGGTCGGGTCCTGCTTGTGAGTTTCCCCACAAGCATCTGGCTGGCCACTGTGAGGATGCTGGACTAGATGGGCCATTGGCCTGATCCAGCACACTCTTCATATGTTATTAACACAGAGAATGACAGCAAGTGATTAAAATAATAATACAGACACCCACGGCAGAGGCCTATTCATGCAGCTGGGAAAGCCTTAGCAACATAAATTTATTAAATTGTTTCTGGAAAGTGCAAATAGTGGACAGCTGTCATATATTGATAGGAATGCTGTTCCACAGAACAGGAGCAGCCACAGCGAAAGCCCTGCCTTAAGTTACTATGGCTCAGGCTTATGAGATCCTTGGAACTTGATGGAGAAACTGCCTTGCAGACCACAGCGACCTAATGGGTGTGCAGGCGATAAGGTGGCCTCTCAAGTAACATTATGTCATCCTCATCAAAATGCCATCTCACCGCCACCATTGTTTAACCCAGATTTACCATTCCTATGGACTCAGGGGCATAGGAAGTGGGGTGTGGGGGTGTGTGGTTCGCCCCAGGTATCATCCCTGAGGGTGTGACAAAATGGCACACCGCAGGGGGCAGCACTTACCACGGGGCCTGGCCTGCAGCGCGCCTGAACCACATGTCTCTCCTAGGAGTAATGCGGTGGCTTGGGGCCCCACACTGCCCAAAACAGCAGCGTGGGGCTTGTGTCTGCCAGGTGGACTCTGTGGACAGATCGCCACAGCACCCTTGTGGGCAAATCGCCCCAACCCCCGGTGGGTGGCTCGCCCCACCCCCGCCGCTCCGGGTGCCGGAGCAGCTAGCTGCGCTGCTGCATGGACTCTGGAAGAAGCTGTTCTGCCGGGAGCAGGAAATCTCTGAAGACTCTGCTGGGGCACTGCATACTCTGCTGAAGCATCACACTGGCTGAGGTGTGGTGACTTCCAGCTGACTAGCTGACTTCCACAAGTCAACAATAGACCAGAGGTGGGGAACCTCAGGTCCAGTAGACCACATGTAGCCCTTCAAGCTTCTCTATTTGGCCCTCAGCACTCTTCCAAGGATACAATCCCTCAACAGTGGCACACATCCCCCAGGCCACAACCCTCCTGATACCCTCTCTGAGTGTTTTTGCCTGGCTGGAATGTGTCTTTTGACTCTCATAGTGCCACTTGGTTGTCCAGATGGTAGACAGAGAGGGCTGTGGTGGGGTTTGCAGAAACTAGCCTACTCTACAAAGGCAAAATTTGCATGTATTGTTCCACACACATTTACCTGTGGCCCTGCCCATTTCTGGCATGTGGCCCTTGGAATGTTTTCCAGAAGGGAATGTGGCCCTCGCTCTGGAAAAGACCTTCCAACCCAGGACTAGATGGGTCCTAGATCTAGTCTAGTGAAACCTCACCCTTTCTTAGGGGTTCTCCTTATGATCTTCAACAGCTGCTCCTTTTATGCAGTCGACCACTGGAGCTGTTGACGGTTTCTTCTCCAGAGGGTTTTATCAGAGCAAGACAGGCTTTCTTGTGATCCCCAGCCAAGAGAAGTGGTCATTCTGGAAGCAGGTGAAAACAATGAGGTTTTGCTGTCTCTTTAAGCCATCATGAAGAGGCCATCTTGGCATTTATTTATTTATTTTCTTCCTGAGCTGCTGCTGTTGCTGCCTGCCAGGCATGGTTTCGAAGCGAAGTCTGCAAATGTCAAAGCCATTACCAGTCACAAAGAGAGAGGCACATAATGAAGGCCGCTGTGAAAGTGGCTCTTTCCTTCTTCCTCTAAGGCTTCTTGCACTCAGAAGAAAAGGCTGCCATGATGTCAACACAGAAGTGTCCCCTTTTAAAAGCCTCAGCCTTCGGTGACACAATACAAGAAACTGTTTGGAAGATCAGATTGAGCTTTTGGATCGTCATTCTCACACAAACCAGCTTCCCAGTGCAGTTTCATACAAGATCTTGCCTTTTCTCCCCCCCCCCCCATGTGTCACCAGCAAATCCAAATGATGCCGCAGAAGGAGGAGGAGGAGCTGCTGTATTCCTGGTATTGTGCGCTATAGTGTCGTATCCAGGCATCCCATACGACATCATGACATCAAAAGTGATGCCCAGATGATCATTGTGGGTGCTCTGCCCAGTAACAAATATTGGGAGGGCTCAAAGGGGGGTTCAGCCCAGAGGAGTCATTACCCCTGCATGGGACTATCCAGTTGAAAGGAACACTACGTAGCAGCTAGTGAAAACAATGCTTCCGAAAGTTCTCAGCTGGGGTGTGCTAGTCCCATGACAGTGACTTTAACTGGTGGTGAAGCTCCACTATTACTCTCTCACTTAGCATAAAACATAAAGCAGGTATTAGACACTGTCATATGCCAAGTCCTTCTTCCTCTTCTTTTCTTTGGCGGCTGAATAAGATTGTCTTCCATGAACACGGTCTTAACAGCGAGTCTGTAAGTGACTCTGGAGGCCAATTCTGGATCCACACATCCTTCCACAGTGGGGACATAGGTTTCCAGGCGGGAGTTGATCATGGTGAGGGTTCGCCAAGTGTACTTTCCTCACGTTTCTCTCTTTCGTCCTGAGTTCGAGGGTCTTCAAAGCCCACAACACCTTTGGTAAAGGCTGTTCTCCAATTGGATTGCTCACAGGCCAGTGTTGTCGGTGTTTATACTACATTTTTAAAGATTTGCTTAAAAGGGTATTTAAACCTCTTTTGTTGACCACCAGCATTACGCTTTCCATTTTTAAGTTTGGAATAGAGCAGTTGCTTTGGAAGATGAACATCAGGCATCTGCACAACATGACCAGTCCAACTAAGTTGATGTTGAAGTATCATTGCTTCGACACTGGTGATCTTTGCTTCTTCCAGTACACTGGCATTAGTCCACCTGTCTTCCCAAGTGATGTGTAAAAATTTTTGGAGACACCCAGCATTGTCTACACAGACTGACAGTGGCTCTCCAAGGATTTAGGCAGACGTCTTCTGTGGAAGATGATCTGGAGAAGGACTCTTGGACCTTCTGCATCCAAAACATGTGTTGTACTGCTGAGATGCAAGATTTGCACATAGGATTCCCACTTAAACTGCTGGTGAGGCTCCACTATTACTGTCTCACCTAGCATAAAACAGAAAGTGGATATAATAGTGGAGCCTCACCAGTTTAGGTGGGAATTCTAACTACACATATACATTTATGCCCGATAAAAAGAAGCCCACTGCCCTTATTACTGTCCTCTCTCATGCTGCAGTCTTGCCAAAAGCCTTTTCTCATGACATGATACATTCCTACACGCGATTGATTCCTGAAAGGGTGCAGCCTAGAAGGATCCAAACATTAGCTAAGCCATTTCAGGTCTGCATTCAGGATTTTCTCAAAACATGTACATGTCCATTCACCTCTCGGTTGTGGTGGATGGATATCCTACCCCTCCTCTGAGTTAGGGCATCTGACTTCTCTGAGGTGAGTTGCATCTGTGGTGATGTGCAATGACAGCCCTGAAGGGTCAAAATGGAGCCGGCAAATGAGTAAATTTCTCCTTTGCTGGCATGTTTCACCTTATTTCCTGTCACTGCCATCCCTCCGGCATCCATTTCATCGTGGATATGACAGGGGCAAGAGCTGAGAACACATCTCCTTCCCGGGTGGGTCTGATATGAAATCAGAGTAATTGAAGCAATTGCTGTATCCCATGTCCATCATTCATCTCCTTTGTTGTATGGCTTCACTTGCTTTTGCTGGAAAATCAATTAGGTCACGTTTGACTTCAGGAGTCCTCCGTGCCATTGTCAGATGTCCAGAACTTGAAAAAAGGAGATCAGAGATCAGCTGACTTGACATCATTATTGTGGCTTCTCTCTCTCTCTCTCTCTCTCTCTCTCTCTCTCTCTCCTATCTATCTATCTATCTATCATCTATCTATCTATCTATCATCTATCATCTATCATCTATCATCTATCTATCTATCTATCTATCATCTATCTATCTATATCTATCTATCTATCTATCTATCTATCTATCATCTATCTATCTATCTATCTATCTATCTATCTATCTATCTATCTATCATCTATCTATCATCATCTATCTATCTATCTATCTTTCCGGTGTCAGCTCTAGCATAGAGTTCCTCCAATTTGTTCCCCACAAGCAGATCCTGTAATTAATGGAGGGTATGCCACTGGCCCACTTCCTGCGCACATATAAACCTCAGTGTCGAAAGGAGCCTCTGGCTGGTTGTCGCAGTGATCACTTCTGACAGCTGCTATAGAAAGATGGAAAGCCCTGTTCTCTCTCTTTCTTCCCTTTCAGTCCACTAGGGGTTCTTCACGCAAGATGGGGGAAGAATAGGAAAGTCACTGTGATATGGATTTCTCCCTGCCAGAAATACTGAATTTTGCACTCTCGCAACATGGCTGCAGAAATACAGACTGGGACAGAGTGGAATCCAAAGCTCCTTTCTGCTGGGCTGGGGGCGGGATTGTGTGGAGGTATCTGTCTGCACACACTTTCCCACATTCGCCTGAGGAGTGGTGCCTGCTCCCCCTTCCACCTGCCCAAAGTGGGACAGTTGAAGTGGTCTCATCAGAATCTCCAACACTGGCAGTGACCAAAAATGCCCTGAAACAGGATGATAATGATAATTTATTAGTTATAGCCCGCCCATCTGGCTGAGTTTCCCCAGCCACTCTGGGCAGCTCCCAATAGCATATTAGAAACATGATAAATACATTAAACATTAAAAACTTCCCTAAACAGGGCCGTCTTCAGGTCTCTTCTAAAAGTTGGAGAGTTGTTTATTTCCTTGACATCTGATGGGAGGGCATTCCACAGGGCGGGCACCACTACCGAGAAGGCCCTCTGCCTGGTTCCCTGTAACCTCACTTCTTGCAATGAGGGAACCGCTAGAAGGCCCTCGGAGCTGAACGATAGGGGTGGAGACGCTCCTTCAGGTATACTGTGCTGAGGCTGTTTAGCGCTTTAACGGTCAGTGCCAACACTTTGAATTGTGCCTGGAAATGTACTGGGAGCCAATGTAGGTCTTTCAGGACCAGTGTTATGTGGTCTCGGCGGCCATTCCCAGACACCAGTCTAGCTGCCGCATTCTGGATTAGTTGTAGTTTCTGGGTCACCTTCAAAGGTAGTTCTGGTGGCATTGGGCTTGAGCTGGACCCCATTGCAGCATTCCCTCCCGGCTGCTGCAATGATTTATTTGCTCACCTTCCACTACTATCAATGTGTTGAGCAAGGCTGCAGATGCAGCAGTGGCCCCACTGGTCCATTAAGCCCTACTGAGCAGCATCTGAAGTTTGGATGGTACCCACATTTAGGAAAAGTACATTAAAATTAAGACACTTTTACAGGATTTTTTTTCCCCACCTCCAGTTGAGCTAGCTCCAGTTGAGCTTGCTGAGGCCCGTCTGAGCTGGGATAGAGGATTTATGCCTCTCACAATCTGGTCATCTACTGGAAAGCTAGATCCAGGAGTTTCTGCAAATTGTGGTACTGATTATTATAATTTGGGAAGGGAGGGATATATTTATTGACTTTTTCAAGATAGGCAAAAAGAAGGTTATTTGCTCAAAAAAAACACCACAATGATGCAATGATGTAACAAATAACAGCATGAGTATATGTCATGATTTATAAATATGAAATCAACTATTTCGCCCCTTCTTCCATAGACTTGTCACACTAAAGGCTTGGGGTTGCGTCCAACGTAAGTCCTGCTTAGAGTAAACCCATCAAAATGAATGAATTTGAATAAATAAAAGTTACTACCTTAGGCCCATTGCTTTCAGTGGGTCTTTTCTGAGTCGCACTCATCCTTGGTCTTCAGTAAACCAAAAATCAGTGGTGTGTGCAGGGAAACCAAAAGTTCTCCATCAGAAGATCTCCATGACTGAGGTGGAGCATAAGGAATCAGGCACACCTTAATGCTGAATTATGAATTAACAAAAGATCCTTGAACCTGGCCTTTTAGTAAATCAGCAACCAGTGCAGCTCTTTCCACAACGTAGTAACATTTTGCCAATAACCTACAGTGGTTGCCAACAAACTACAGTGTGGTGTAGTGGTTAAGAGCGGTAGTCTCGTAAGCTGGGGAACTGGGTTCGCGTCTCTGCTCCTCCACATGCAGCTGCTGGGTGACCTTGGGCCAGTCACACTTCTTTGAAGTCTCTCAGCCCCACTCACCTCACAGAGTGTTTGTTGTGGGGGAGGAAGGGAAAGGAGAATGTTAGCCGCTTTGAGACTCCTTAAAGGGAGTGAAAGGCGGGATATCAAATCCAAACTCTTCTTCTTCTTCTTATAGCTTTTGGACCAGGTACAAGGGCAGCCTCAGGTACAGTGCATTACAGTAGTCAAGTCTCAAGGTTTCCTAATAGACTGCTTATTTTCCAACAAAATTAAGGATGGGAGTTGGAGGAAACAGCAACCCAAAAACTCATGTCTTTGAAAACTATTATCCCATAATAGCAATGAAGTCCTCCGACCAAACCATTTCCTGGGAAATTAATGACCATCTTGCTTAACAGCCCGGAGCTCTGCTTCAGGCCATCAACTCCCCCAGCCAATCATCAATCCCCAGGAAATCCCAAGGCCTTGAATATTATCGCTTCAAATTTTTCTTTTTAAAAAAGCTAATATGCTACTTTGCAATGTCACTCTCAGGATGGGGTGACACGTTCACATTTGGCAACTGCTCTTTTTTGTCACGACAAGGCTGTCAGAAATTAAAAGCCGTTGCAATCCCTACTCCGCCATATCATTTGCCGGAGAGTCTTGTCACATGGACTGAGAAGAAGGCGAAGGAAGGTTTCACGTTTCAATAAACTCCCCATGACATGTAAGAGATTTGCTGCTGCTGTAGCAGGCAGCCAAGCTAAACGTTCAAAGAAATCGCTTGGTGGAGTCCTGTGCTTGTAAAAGAAACAACCTCTCTGAATGGGGACAATTAGCAGCTCAAGGAGAAAGTTTGCAGCAGCAGCATCCCCCTTAGGTGCTATTTTTCTGCATCACAATGATGGTGGTGATGATTATTTCAGGTGGGAGAAAAGGCAGCCTGCCACTGAAGTGATGCTCTCTAGGTGGGATTCTACCACGATGACTTTTCAGATGCATTGATCAAGTCTTCAGGTACGTAGTTACATTTTGGTACAAAGCCATCACTGGAGGGATTTTGTTCTTCTTAGAAAGACAAAAACAAGCATCAACAGGACCAACTGTGTAGGTAAAAGGGGGATATTTCATATCCAAAGTATTTCAAACAATTGTCTTCTGAAAGGGGTTGGACTAGATGGTGCTTTGGGTCCCTTCCAACTCTACAATTCTATTATTCTATGGTTCTTCACAAATCCACACACACTAACATTTTTTAAAAAATATTTTATTAAACGTCAACATTTTTAGCATATGAAATCAAAATACAATTATGTCTTTTTTTCTTATCGTTGTTGACTTCCCACCCTGTTTTCCATGGAGTTTTTGTTTCTCCCCTTCTGCCGCACCCTATATTCTATCTATTAAATCATAACCACAGTATTATAATCTAAGCACACCAACATGTCATACATACACAAAACAGAAATCACAGTGCATTTGCAACATCCCTGTTTGTTTGCAGACCTAAGGTCTCTGGCCAAGATCTTCTGCTAAGGCCTCTATTCCATCTTCTCTAAACTAATGTTCTCAAGCAATAACCTGCCCTGTTTTGAAATCCAAGAGTGTGGCTACTCTTTAAATATATTATAGTGCATCACAGATCGTAGAATTGGAAGGGACCACAAGGGGCATCTAGTTTAACCCCCTGCAGTGCAGCAAACAATGTAGGGCTTGAACCCACAACCTTGAGATTAAGAGTCTCATGATCTACTAACTGAACTAATTTTATGATATACTAGAAGCGGGATAGGTGAACCAAGGGCCACATTACTTTCTGGGCAATCTCCGGGCAGGGCCAGAGGCAAAAGCAATGCATGTAAAGTTTACATCTGGACAGCAGGAGAGCTTCTACACATGAGCACCTCTATCTTCACCCCAGCAACCAAGAGGCATCATTGGAGTTCAGGGAGACATTTCAGACAGGGGAAAGTAAAGTACGAAGTAGGGCTGGTGAAGGAGGGTGGCCCAGGGGAGGGGTGTGGCCTGAGGAGAGTCTCAAGAGTCCTAGAGATGGATGCATCTGGCTCCTGGTTCCCCATCCCTGGTATAGAATATCATTATATACTAGAGTACAGATAAGCAACCTGAGGTCCCCAGACTAATTTCAAAAGCCCGCTGCAAATGATCTGTTCAGACCTCTGGCAAGAGCAATTTGTTCCTTCACTCCTGCAGCTCTGGGCAGGAAGGGAGAAAGGAGACCCATTTCGAATGGGAAAGATCTACAACATAATGCATCTTCTAGGATGAGATTCATGGAGTACTGGGTGCAAGTGGCCCAAATGGAACATTATATGGGAAGTAGCTGGTCTCTAAACTGAGCCAACAGAGAGGTCCTGGAATCCCTCTCCTCGCCCTTCTCCTATAGACTGAACATCCATCCCCACTTTTTTTCCTGCTGGAAGATGCCTGGATATTTGAAACTCAAATTCAGATTTTAATACTCATGTTTTGAAAAAAACCAAATTCGAACTTCTGTAAGTTTTTCAATGTTTCTTGGGTTGGTAGGGGGATTGCTTGTGAATCTTTGCAGTTAGCAACAAAAATCTTGGTAAGATTCTTAAAATGATTCTCACAGGATCACTTTTCAGGTGGGGAAGAGAAAGTGCTTTCCTTATAGTATATACATTATGGGAAAAGTTATATGTTGGCTGTAAAGCCATTTTATTACCCTACATAGCATAGGAAACACAGAACAGATTCTCGGACAGAGTGATTCACATGCAGTGGCCAAATTCCCACCTGCTACCCTGGTAAGCTTCTCCTTGATGGAAATAAAAATTGGAAAGTTTGGAGACACTAAATCTGCCCTTGCTTTAAGAAGAATAAAATGGTTGTACCTAATCTAATGAACAACCTGACAGCACCTCTTTGGGGACCTGATTTATGGCACCATAGCTGCCTTGTTACAATTGTATTTGAAATTGTGGCTCCTTTGTGGCTATTTCTTTCTTGTCATGAGTATGAATTATTATTTCTGGTTCCCTGTAAAAGGATTGCCCAGAGGAACGGTTATTTTGCAACTTGGCCAGGTGAATTAAAAGAAAACGAGCATGGCGTGCATTGCTTCATAACTTTGTACACCCAGTCCAGAGCCCAACTACATGTTACACTCACTTCCTTAAAAGCAGCCAAATGTAAGCAAAGTTCTGACCAAGGAGAATTCTGAAGGCCCCTCTGTAGAGCAGCAGAGGAAGCTGGAGAGGATCACTGGCAAGCTCCTAGCCAAGGAGCAGACCCCAAATGCCTATCTCTGTCCATTGTCCAATTCTTATGAGATCTTTCATTCAGGATAGGGGTCTGGAAACTAAGAACCTAAGAAGAGCCTGCTGGATCAGGCCAATGGCCCACCTAGTCTCATTTTTTCAATCTTATATTTTATTCTTCCTCCATATTTCTGCAGCAATAGGCTCCCTTCCTCCCTCCCTCCCTCCCTCCCTCCCTCCATATATTTAATATGGAGACCAAATTTGGAGACATGGGAAACTGGAAGAACCAAAACTGACTGATCCATTCATCTCTAATCATGAGTGGGCAGAAAGTAGCACTGATCCACTATATCAGCTATTACATGGTGGTGATATTCACAGGAGAGGAAAACAAAATTTAAACACACACACACACACACAACTGGAGGGAGGAGAGACGTATGGCTGCGCTAAGGTCCAGCTACCTGCTCCCTCTGCTTTTTAGGGTTTCAGTGCCAATCTGACCCCGACACACGTTTGTTGCTGCCAAATCACGTTTGTCCCCAAATGAGACTTTATATAAAGCAATGGGATGACTATACCTGGGAGCTGCTCCAAAGGAATGCATTATGGTAATGTCAACAGATATCCAGTGGTGAAAAGCCGATTGCTCACGGCACGGTCGGCGTCTTCTGCAAGCCCTTTTCAACATGCCTTACAGTGTGCAAATCGGTGTTTGCTGGCCCCAGTTCCCTGCTGTGTGATCTATTAAGCTCAATGTACCTTGCCCCAGCTATGGCATGGTGTATTACATTCGCCCACACTATCATTCCCAAACACTCTGTGTACATAAAGCCTCATTCTCTCTGCCAGACATTTTTTTAACGAGACCTCCTTTCCGTGTTTGTGTGTGTGTGTGTTTCTGTAGTGATATTCTCCATTGGGCTTTGACAAAACAAAATGGCTGAACTGTCTAGCTGAATATTTCAGCAGATGAACAAAATGTTCAAAGTATGATTGGCTGACCACTGTCACATGATATGGCCATGTCACCCTACCTCATTTCCATACTACCCATATGCACAAAGTGCTTTTAACAGCTATGGGTTACCCCAAAAGAACCATAGTTTACCCCTCACAGAACTACAGTTCCCAGAACCTTTGACAAACTACAGTTCCTATGATTCTCCATGACTGTTAGAGATATGAAAGGGCTTTAAATGTATGGTGCAAATCATAGGAGCCAACTCCTAGGGGCTGAGGTCCCCTTGTCCCCACCCCATAAAATATTTAAGGGGGCCTGGTCTCCCCAAAGTTGATGGACATTGCCATTCAAATGATGTGTTTGTGCTGTGTCATATGATCAATTTTGCTTGGAGGAGCTTACCTGCCCCCCCCCAATATTTTATTCAAGTTGGCACTCCTGGTGCAAATGTGATTGAAGAACAGGCACCCAGGAAGGCTGCAGAGTGCAGGCCACAGGTGAGATGTTTTGCACCATGAAAGAAAGGACATTTATGAATACCCTTCAGCCACCTCAAAAGTAAGGTAATCACAGCTGAAATCACTGTACCCAACCCATGTGAATTTTAGTGTATGTTTTTTCCTCCCCTTTGATAATTTTCAAATGCAATTTCTTTTCTCATTAATTGATGGAGAGCGGCCAAAAATAATAATAGTATGCAGGATAAATGTTCAACACAGTGCTAACTTCTGAGGCAATGCAGAACATTCAATAGGAGCAGACCATGAGAATGAACTGGATGAAAGTTTCGCCTTTCCAGCAGAAACATGAGTGACTGGTTGGGACTGCAGCTCCTTCTCTGCTGTGCATTTTTCAGCCTAAGGGCCACTATCCCTCATGTGGAACATTCTGGGGGCCACATTCCGGTGGTGAGAGAAACCAGATACAAAAGTGGATGGAGCAATGGTCCCATTGTGTATCTGTGTCTGTGCAGAGAGACCTCAGGACAGTGTATGGCTGGAATGTAGCCTACCATTCAAAGCCCATGTAGAATCTAAGGTTTCTATGCACAGATATAGATACACATAGAAACACAGTCACACATCTCTCCATCCTCCTAAAGTCGCAAGTATCTACACACATTCACAAATTCTCCATCTGTTCTCCATCTGGGCAAATAAAAGGCACTATAGAATCATAGAATTGTAGCATTGGAAGGGACCCCAAGGGTCATCTAGTCCAACCCCCTGCAATGCAGGAACCTCAGCTAAAGCATCAATGGCATATGGCCATCCAACCTCTTCCAAGGCAGGAGAGTCCACAACCTCCCAAGGGAAACCATTCCACTGCTGAATAGCTCTGTCAAAAAGTTTTTCCTGATGTTTAGTTGGGATCTCCTTTCTTGTAACATGAAGCCATTAGTTCGGGTCCTATCCTCAAAAATACTTCCCAGCCAACCAAAAGCACTCAAGGAGGATGTGGTTCAGGACCAGTGAGACCTATGGCCTGGGGAGGGGATGTGACCTTGGTAGAGTCTCTAGGGCCAGATACAGAGGCGTGGGGAAGCCATGATTGGCCCCCAGGCCTGACGTTCCCCACCCCTGAAATACACAGTAGAGTGTCCCCAAAACATATGAAAACTACAGGCCTAGAATGTTTCTGCCTTATGCCAGATGCTGTCAGGAGTAGCGTGCAGAAGCCGGGCCCTGTGACCAGTGGGGCTTCACAGGACTGGGGCCTTCCTAAGTTTGTTCTGGAGAGGCAAGGCGTGGCCACACAGGTGAGGCCACTTGGTAGCTCAGTGCACCTGGTGGCTAGAGCCAGGAAGGGATATAAGGTCAGCATTTCCCTTCGGTTCTTTGCCACAGCAACACGTTCCCTGCCTTGCTGTGTCTGGCTTCTTGACTCCTTGCTTCTCGACCCTTGGACCCTTGACTTTGTGACTCCTTGCTTCTCGACCCTCAGACCCTTGACTTCGTGCCTCCTTGTTTCTTGACCCTTGGACCCTTGACTTTGTGGCTCCCTGCTTCCTGACCCTCGGACCCCTGGCTTCTGGACTCCTGTTCCTGCTTCCACCCCGCCCTCTTGCCCCCGGTCCCGACGTCCTCAGCCAGGACTTTGATCGCCCATAGACCGGACCGTGATAGATGCCCTGAAGGTACATTTTCCGTGTCTCATTGAGCTTGCTCCAAGATGGCCAGACATCGATGTGTGAATTCATGCCAATATTTTGCTCATAACTGTTATTGCGAGAAGCAAGCTTTGGGCGCGGCTCCCTTATCGGACTTTGGCAACATTTTCAAACAATTGTCCCAGATCTGTTGCCCACTGGTACCCATTACAAGCATCATTTCCCCATGACAAACAGAGACTGTTTGGGGAAGTAAATCTAGGAGTCTTCATAACCCTACACCATTGACAGCAATAAATATGATATGAGGCCAGACTCTCGCTGTCCCTCCCTTCTTGGAATTACTGATTGAGTAGCCCCGGTTTTGAAGCCAGCTCTGAAGTATGGATTTTTTCCTTTCATCACCATCTCTCATCCAGCAGCATCAGTCATTAAGCTGTCCTAAAGATCTGTTGCCCAGGTCTGACTGCTAGGTATATATCAGAACCTAGGGTGAGTTGTGCTGGAGCATAAATTGGTGGTGCAGGCCATGCCTTCGGAAGCCAAATGAATGGACAGTGACTGTTATTGGCTACAGCCACGCAAACATAAATAGGCCAGATCAGAGCTTGCTTAAATCTGTTGCGGAAAGAAATATTCCCTTGAAATGGAGTGTCAGGGACTGGGCAAAGGAAGAAGAATGGTGGAGACCGCCTCCCCATCCTGACCCTTCCAGGGAGAAGGAAGAGGAAGACAGTATAGATTCACAACAGTGGTTTGCAGGAGCTCACAGCTCAGAGGCAGATGAGGGGGAAAGTTGGGAAATAATGGGAGAAGAGGAGCAGGCAGAACCAGAGCAGCAGCTGGCTGACCCGTTGTCATCAGAAAGCATTCCAGACCCACCATCTCCCAGAACCTGGCGAGTCTTAAAAGTAGGAGAGCAAAGAGCTCAAAGACAGAGGGCATGTCGCAGCACCTGTAGCGGAGGTGGTGATGATGATGACGAATGAGGAGAGAAGGGGGGTGGGGTGGAAATTCACTCGAGAAAATGCCATTTTCCAAGAGGCTGGGTTCTATCACCTCTCTCTGTAAAGTCTGAAATAAAAAAGACTGTAAGAAACTTCTCCTTGTCTTTATACTTTCTTGGGCAACCAACCGCAAGCCGCTGATGACATCCTGACGTGGAGAGAGGTACACAAAGCAAACAAAAAGTTTCTATTTTATGAAAAATAAATATTCTGTTGTAAATGCTGGGCCTCATCAATAGGAGTATAGCATCTAGATCAAGGGAAGTAATAGTGCCACTGTATTCTGCTCTGGTCAGACCTCACCTGGAGTACTGTGTCCAGTTCTGGGCACCACAGTTCAAGAAGGACACTGACAAACTGGAACGTGTCTAGAGGAGGGCAACCAAAATGGTCAAAGGCCTGGAAACGATGCCTTATGAGGAACGGCTAAGGGAGCTGGGCATGTTTAGCCTGGAGAAGAGGAGGTTAAGGGGTGATATGATAGCCATGTTCAAATATATAAAAGGATGTCACATAGAGGAGGGAGAAAGGTTGTTTTCTGCTGCTCCAGAGAAGCGGACACGGAGCAATGGATCCAAACTACAAGAAAGAAGATTCCACCTAAACGTTAGGAAGAACTTCCTGACAGTAAGAGCTGTTCGACAGTGGAATTTGCTGCCAAGGAGTGTGGTGGAGTCTCCTCCTTTGGAGGTCTTTAAGCAGAGGCTTGACAACCATATGTCAGGAGTGCTCTGATGGTGTTTCCTGCTTGGCAGGGGGTTGGACTCGATGGCCCTTGTGGTCTCATCCAACTCTATGATTCTATGATTCTATGAAATGCCATTTAGGCAGGGACCCAAGACCCAGTGGCCGATAGCCCATTTAGTCCAGAATTCTATTCTCGCTGTGACCGACCGTGTTCCTGAGAGAAGCCTGCAAGCTAGACTTGAGCACAAGAGTCCTCTCCCCTCCTGTGGTTTCTACAGTGGTACCTCTGGTTAAGAACTTAATTCATTCCGGAGGTCCGTTCTTAACCTGAAACTGTTCTTAACCTGAGGTACCACTTTAGCTAATGGGGCCTCCCGCTGCCGCCGCACCACTGCCGTATGATTTCTGTTCTTTTATTTCCCATTCTAGCAGAATACTATATGCGTCCAATACTCTTTTAAAGCCATCCACGTTGGTGGCGATCACTGTCTCCTGAGGGGGCCAAGCTCCAGCGTTTATACACCACATGGATAAATACTTTTATCTTTTCTGAATCTTCCAACGTTCAGCTTCACTGAATGCTCATCAGTTACGAGAGAATGAGAGAATCTTTTCTCTATCCACTTTATCCATGCCATGAATATTTGTATCAACTTTTATCATGTCACTTCTTCCTTGCCTTCTTCACTGAGGGGCTGAAATTTTGCTTTTCTCTGGGTGGGGCAGTGACCAGCAGTTCCCGGTGCTTCACTGGGAAGTTGCAGTTATGCACTTACTGCCATGAGGCAGTTCCTGACATCAAAAGCTATGCATTGTTGGTATGCAGGTGTCCCTCATTTTAATGTCCCAGGCTGGCAGTTGAACGAGGAGAACTATCAAGCCCCTGTCTTGCTGCCGTTCGTGGGCACTTTTCCTAGCTATCTTCCTTCCCTGCACCTTCTGCAAGTGATCA